TAGGCGCCTTTATTAGGCGTCTTAAAACTAGTGCTTCGACATTTCCGAACAATGCAATATTTATAACTATTTTTTGATTTATTGTCCGTCATTATTTAAAACTCCCTAAGCCTATTTAAAACCCTAAAAGCACGTTTCAATATTATCAATCGACAGCCTATATTACAAATTTGTTCTCGCAACGCATGCAGTGACGTCACAGTCAATTCGAGCGAACGCTCGGCGCGACGGTTTTTAAGGCCTTTTTAAGTGACTTCTATATGGAATTTAATTCTGATTTTTTGCATAGTGACTTAAAATTGTGTGGTCTTTCCAAAAAACAAATAAAAAAAAAGTGTCGAACGAGCCCATTGCCAAACAAGCCTGTGAAAACCACTTCTCGATATCTTCTTCCTAATCTAAAATATATCTAAAAAAAGAAAAAAATCAAGAAATTAGACATATTTTTGGAACAACTTCCATTATAAAAGACTCTAATTAACGTTGTTCCATCCACAAAATTAACCAATTTACTAAAATAAAATAAATAATAAACGGAAAATAAAAAACATTTTTGGATAGAGAATGCAGAGACCTTTCAAACGCGATATATCACAAGCCTATACTTCACAATTAAAAAAATAGGGGTTGTAAATGTCATTCGAAGGGAGTTGAGGATATGGCTCACATTTTGACGTTGAGAAATATCAAATTATAAATAAAATTTGACGTGTTTTAGGATTTTCTATAAATATGTACAGTAACCGAAATAATGAATTTATTCCATTTGGCGATTCCACCCTGTATGTAGGGTAGGGTAGGTACCCTGTATGTAGGTACATATGTAAGTAATAATGTGGGTCACGATATTTAAATTTGAAAAATATCATACGGTAAATAAATCATAAAATCGAATGTTTCAAGGAACAAATTTCATCGTAAATATTTTATTAAAATCGATTCATTTCGCTACGACGGAAAAACAAGTTAGTACGTAATTTTCCAATTTGAGTACAATGATTTTTTTGTTAAAACATTCGAGACTTTTCTTATCATTTAAATAACGCAATTATTTATACTATTCATTATCTGCAATTCACACCTAATCAACGCTCGTTAATCTCCCGGATATTTTTATACAGTGTGTCTACTTAAGTTCGCACCATATGGAAAACTTTTTTATTATTAATTTTACGAAAAAAAGTTATTCTTTATAAAAAGTTCTGCATGTTTTAAAACCTAAAATACAATCATCAGATATCTAATTTTTTCAGTCGTATACGAGGTTTGTTAGAAAATATGAATTTTGCTCAAAAGTAAAGTAAATCTATTTTTGAAAATATTGGAAATTGTTATCTGTTATCTCTTTATTCGTTAAAAATTTTATTACATTTACATCTCTTAACCTCTATGTTGCATTAGTTTGATTATGCATTGAAATAAATGATAACAAAATAATTTATTTTACAATAATTATCGACTACATAAAAACATTAAAAAATGTAATTTTTAGTCCTGATCAACTTTTCTTAATAACAATTTTCGATATTTTCAAAAATAAAGGTACTTTACTCTTAAGCAAAAAAACACATTTTTTTGACAAACCTCGTATACGGATTAAAAAAATTGTTATCTGATGGTTGTATTTTAGGTTTTAAAACATGCAGAACTTTTTATGAAGAATAACTTTTTTCGTAAAATTAATAATAAAAAAAGTTTTCCATATGGTGCGAACTTAAGTAGACACACTGTATAACCAAATTACACCAAATTTATATTTTTTTTAAGTATCTATTGAATTTATTAATCGTTTTTTTTCTAACAACAAACGGTACATTCTCATTACGACACACAAACATATCCAACGTGAGGGTATTTTAATATTCACAATTCACACGATTAGCAAGCATTGCACACGTGCTGAAACGTGTGAATGTAATGAGATTTTCTTAAAACGCATTCTGTACATATTATTTTTCTTTGTTACGTGAACGTTACCGTTTTCTTTTGCACTTTATTATCTTCTCGAATAGATACGCATGTATTTCGTCGGAAAAAAATTCAAAATTATCGTTAAAATTTTGTGATATCGAACGAGCATTCGCTGATAACCAAGGTTAAACATTTACATAAAATACAATGAAAAAAAAACCGTACAGTACTCGATATTGGAATTCCTGCTTATTATTGCACGTTCTAACATCAACGAGAATAAAATTCTGTTTTAATGTTCGTATGTAATTAAATAGCCCGTCGACTGTACATGGACATCTTAACGAACAATAATAACAAGCGAATAAGGAAATGGCTCCGGGCACTTACGATATACAGAATCGATTATTTATTATTACTTATCGCTTTCGAAAGAATTACAATTGTTACCTAAGTTCAAATCAATTTAGGTAAACATGAAATTGCACACCGCTGTATTTTGATGGTAAAATTACTTTCATCAGGAGCAAGTTACATACAAGGGAAAGGTGAAAAGTTCTCTGCTGGATGACGAAAGACCGCGATTTTTAGTTAAAAAATTATATTATTCTTCTTATTAAGTATAAATCTTTAGTTCTAAACAGTTCTAAATGATTCTGGAAGCGTTCTAAATGATTCTGAAGCGTTCGAAATGGTTCTGAAGAGTTCTAAATTATTTTAGACAATTTCAAATGATTCTGGAGCATTCTAAATGGTTTTAGACTATTCTAAATGATTCTGGAGCGTTCCAAATGATTCTGAAGCGTTCGACATGGTTCTGAAGAGTTCTAAATTATTTTAGACAATTTCAAATGATTCTGGACCATTCTAAATGGTTTTTGACTATTCTAAATTATTCTGAGCGTTCAAAATGGTTCTGAAGAGTTCTAAATAATTTTAGAAAATTTCATATGATTCTGGAGCATTCTAAATGGTTTTAGACTATTCTAAATGGTTTTTGACTATTCTAAATTATTCTGAGCGTTCAAAATGGTTCTAAAGAGTTCTAAATAATTTTAGAAAATTTCATATGATTCTGGAGCATTCTAAATGGTTTTAGACTATTCTAAATGGTTTTTGACTATTCTAAATTATTCTGAGCGTTCAAAATGGTTCTGAAGAGTTCTAAATAATTTTAGAGAATTTCAAATGATTCTGGAGCATTCTAAATGGTTTTAGACTATTCTAAATTATTCTGAGCGTTCAAAATGGTTCTGAAGAGTTCTAAATAATTTTAGAAAATTTCATGATTCTGGAGCATTCTAAATGGTTTTAGACTATTCTAAATGGTTTTTGACTATTCTAAATTATTCTGAGCGTTCAAAATGGTTCTGAAGAGTTCTAAATAATTTTAGAAAATTTCATATGATTCTGGAGCATTCTAAATGGTTTTAGACTATTCTAAATGGTTTTTGACTATTCTAAATTATTCTGAGCGTTCAAAATGGTTCTGAAGAGTTCTAAATAATTTTAGAGAATTTCAAATGATTCTGGAGCATTCTAAATGATTTTAGACTCTTCAAAATGATTCTGGATCGTTCTAAATGGTTTTAGACTATTCTAAATGATTCTGAAGCGTTCTAAATGGTTTAAGACAATTCTAAATGATTCTGAGCGTTCTAAATGGTTCTGGAGCGTTCTAAATGGTTCAGAAGCGTTCGAAATAGTTCTGAAGCGTTCTAAATGGTTTTGAAGCGTTCTAAATGGTTTTGAAGCGTTCTAAATGGTTCAGAGGCGTTCGAAATGGTTCTGAAGCGTTCTAAATGGTTTTGAAGCGTTCTAAATGGTTTTGAAGCGTTCGAAATGGTTCTAAAGCGTTCTAAATGGTTTTGAAGCGTTCTAAATGGTCCTGAAGCGATCTAAATGGTTCTAGACAATTCTGATTGGTTCTGGGGCATTCTTAATAGTTTTAGACATTTTTTAAACGATTCTGAAGCGTTATAAATGGTTTCGAAGCGTTCTAAATGGTTCTAGACAATTCTGATTGGTTCTGGGGCATTCTTAATAGTTTTAGACATTTTTTAAACGATTCTGAAGCGTTATAAATGGTTCAGAAGCGTTCTAAATGGTTCTAGACAATTCTAAATGATTCTACCCTCGTACAATATTGTTTATACGACACCAACTATGCTCCGTTCGCTATCACGAGATAGTGATAATACCTTCTTGAAGCAGAACATCTAACAAATAAGTAAAAAGTAGACACTATTGATTAGGTATAATAATGTGATAAATAACTAACAGTAATAACCTTGTAATATACGGAACCGAGTCAGATATCAATGGAAAGCGATTTTTAATTTTATTGTAAGTAATTTTTAATTTCGTTATACAGTGTGTTCATAAAATAGACAGAGATATTTTTAGACATATTTTATATCTAGAAGAATGTGCATTATTCCGCTACCAATGTTTGTATAGAAACTGTTTTTCATATTTTTTAAACAAGGAATCCTCCCTCTAAAATACTTCCGTCTATTTTATGACACCCTGTACATTTTTAGTATCAATTTAATAGCCCAGAAGCACGACTCTCCATTGTGTCCAGCTCACTTTCTGGTATTAGAAAAAGTTCGCCTATTGTTAAATACCCTGTATACAGAGTGGCACTACTAAAGTAAAATAAACGTTACTATTAACGAATAGTATAGCCTTAAAGTTTAGGAATTTTTTAATTTTTTTTGTCGAGTCTTTTTACACACAAATTTTTTATTACTATACCTCCTGATAGCGAACAGAGTATAGAATAATTTGCATATGTATACGAAACCAATTTAAGCATAATTTCCTTATTAAAATAAGATGTGATTGTGACGAAACGAACAATATCCATCCTCCTCCGGTAGGCCTTGAGGAATTACATAGGATTAGTCGCAAATTAATAATTAATTACATCACGATGTTTAGAGGAGCATTCCGCGATTTCATTGTAGCGAGAAAAACCCGAATAGTTTGTTATTATACGGAGTAAGTGCACGTAAACCCAGCGAATCGAAACGGAAAAATGAGCAGGATTTAGTAAACGTTGCAGTATTTAAATTGCACCTTACCAGATTTATCAATGGCCCTATTCCGGCTGGTTCCCGTGCACTTGAACATCCTGAGGAATCCGATGAACAGGCATTTGATATTATTTCTCGGCATTCTAATGAATTTACTATCGAACGAGTATAGTAAAGTTAAAATGCTTGAATTGCAACCGACATTTTGGACTAACTAAAAGATTTACAATCGGTTGCTATACGGGTAAAATTTCACGTCCTACGCGTATTTGTCGAACAATGGATAATAAATAGGAAAAATTGCGATTCAAAATTTTCGCTTAATATTATCTTGTAATCATGATGTTCAAAAGTATTCAAACCCAACAGTATAAACAAAATCATATACAGTTTATTGAGATTCGTTCCTTTAATTAAAAATATTCATTAAAATGACATTAGTGACGTTTAGAATTACTTGTCAAAAAAGAAGTGTCAAAGAATGACAGTAGGCTTTGAGCAGTGATGTTAAAATTACTTTATAATATGTAATTAATTACAATTACAGTTACTTTTGGCAAATTGTAATTAATTGCAATTACAATTACAAAATTTGCGAATGTAATTACAATTACAATTAAAGTTACAATTACACTCACAATTACTTTGCTTTGGTGTCATTTTTAAATAATTATTTAGGGATTTGCAATCGGAATTAAACTTTCCACGTATTGAAAATATTAAATAAGTACTTTTGTGTCCAATGAAATTGAAATGTAATTGTAAAATGTAATTGTAATTGTAACGAAAGGAGTAATTGAATTACAAATGAATTACAATTGAGGATCTTGTAATTAATTACCGTCTCAATTACAATAAAAGTAATTCAATTACTTTTTCAATTACTTGTAATTAATTACTTAACAACACTGGCTTTGAGTAATACCAAAAATGGTAATTTATAGCTAAAGTTCGTACGTTTTAAAATGAAAATAACGTCGTTTTTAGTAATTTCCGCGCGGTTCGAAATTTCCCTAGGGTCAATATTAATTCTGCCATTTGACTAGGGGAATTTTACGACGCGCGGTTGAAATACTAATGCGTTGTTGTCACATTGTTATATAGTCTCAAAATTCCGCTATTTTTAGTTGACGCGTTTTGACTAAAATTTGTTGTTTTTGTCACTTCCCCAGCGATATCTGTCTTTTTATGAAGCGTTCTAAATGATTCTGTCCAGTTCTAAATAATTTTAGACAGTTCTAAATGATTCTGAAGCGTTCTAAATGGTTATAGACAGTTCTGAACAGTTCTGGAGCATTCTTAATGCTTCTAACAGTTTTAAATGGCTCAGGAGCGTTCTAAATAGTTCTGGAGCATTCTAAATGGTTCGGGAATGGTTCTGACTCTTTCTAAATGATTCTGGGGCTGTCTAAATAATTTCTGAAAGTTCTAAATGATACTTGAACGTTCTAAATGGTTCTAGAGGGTTCTTAATGATTCTAGACAGTTCTAAAATGATTCTAGGGCGTTTGGAGTGTTTTAAATGATTCCCAATGATTTTTATCCTTGTGTTTTTTTTCAACTTAACAAGCAGTTTTTGTAATTTTTGGTCTGTTTTAGATAGTTTTTCTGGCGGTTTCTATACGTTTATCAGTTTTTCTCGCGTTTTTCACGGTTTTCCCGCTTTTTAATGTTTCAAAATTTTTCTATTTATGACTAATTTTAATTCGTAAATATGGAAAGTCAACATAACATTAAATTAAATATATCAATAATATAAATGATTTCGATTACAACTTGGCAACGTTGCAACAGGCTGGCTCGTGACGTCATTGTCGTTTTAAAACGTACGAACTTTAAGAAAACAATTTTAAATAAAAGTCAGTGATAGTACTTAGCAAATATAGTATAAAGTGATTAAAAATTATTTATTTATTCTACTTATACGATTACCTTTCTTTTCAGTCTTAAAAAGTTTACTTACAGTTAAACTTCCTTCTCAACTAGAAATGTCAATTACCTCTACGTTAATCAAATGGACCAACCTACTATGATCTAACCATCTTCTCCGGTCGGAAGAGATATACGTTTTAATTGGCAATTACAGGTATAATTAAATCGAATTAGCACCTGTCGGGTGCTTTTACTAATAGAAGATCGAGTCCTACGCCTACGCGATCCTGGATCCTGCGTAGGTTTAATTAAATACCATCGCCTTTTGTATCTTTCCCAATTCCCAACGCTAGCGACGCCATAAAAGAATCCGTCAAGGCAATTTCACTAATTGCATAAATGCGATGCATCAATTGGATAATAAAGTAATGTATTTTAGAGCGACAAAATTATACGTAGACTTCTATTTTAATATACAAGTTATTTTTATATGTACCATAATGGCAGTAATACTTGGTACTGACGTCACTAAAGAACGAGAGTTCTAATTGGCTGATAATAAGATTAAGTTAGATGTGATTGGCTGGAATCAGTGACGTGTGATTGTCAACAATTAGAGGCTTTAGGTCACGGCCCTATATTTCTAAGGTCTGGAAACTTCCTATGCTTATGCATTAGAGAATGTGTCCCGTTATTTGAGGACTTTTTGAGCATCACTTTTGCGCCGCAAGGTGGCGAACGATCGGATGACCAACTTATCTCAACCAATCAGCGTCGAGCTACATATAAATCGCGGTTGTGTGACGACAGTTCAAGCTGTCAAAACTATAAAAATTACTTTTTGACATTTCGAGGAGAAAATGGAGAAATACATTGACCGAAGATACGTGAGGCATGATGTTAACAACAAAATCATCGTTGATTTAGGTATATTTTTATATTTAGTATCTATTTTTAGTTTGAATATAACCTTTCCTAATGGTAATTCTATATAATTCGTACGCAAAAAACCGTGATCCTTTACAACATCGCCTCCTAGCGGCCGTTTTAGGAACCCTGTTTTATCCTCAAATAACGGGAGACTTTTCGATCTATGTTTCCAGGCCTTAGAAATATAGGACCGTGCTTTAGGTAAGTGCAAGTTTGCGTGAAATAACGAAAATATTCAATAGCTATTTACGGAGGACTTTCTTTTGCGATGGCACGTCGTGAATACGCGAAATTCGCGTTATTAGATGCCAGTGAAAGTCTACGTGAAAGTCGATTAAAATGATCAGTTTGTAAAAATTAAATGGATTAATTAACGTTAAAAAGCGATATAATCGGAGCTATTCGAATTGTTATTAACAAAATAATTCGCATAATAATTTCGGTACGTAGCGTGCGATGGTGAAAAAAAAAACAGATTTTTCGAAATATTATAGATAATATGCGTCATGGTGTTTTTAATTCGAGGTATAGATGACTCATTGTCCGAGAGGGGAGAAGCGGATTATCCATAAGGGCAGTATTTATCAAGTGATATTAAAGAGAGGAGATCCATGTGAACATTACGCATGAATTTAAATTAAACCCCCCTGATAGATTTTCCCAACTAAAAAGGGTGCCTTTCGAACGTAATTTGATTGAGATAGATACGAGAGGGTCGAAGAATGAAATTTAGGCTGGAGCATCTGATGGGTGGAATATGCAAATGGTTTATACAAGGTAGTCCAGAAATTTGTAAAGGTACCTAATACTCCTATGATCAAAAATAAAAATAAAATGTAAGAAATTTTTAATATACATTTGCTATCAGTATAGATAGCCTAATTTTCTATTCTGAAGGAAGATTCCAAAACTTTAAAGGCTTTTACCATTGGGTAATACAGTAATAGTAATGTTCATTTTACTTAAATAGTGCCACTCTGTATAATAATAGGCAACCCTTTTCTAATCTCAAATAGTGACTTGATAAAATACACAGTCGTGTTTAGGGGATATATTAGGTAGGTAGAAATTAAAAAGATTATAATAAAATTAAAAATGACTTGCGAAAAAATTAAAAATCGCTTTCATTGATATCTAAATCGGAATGGTATTTTATCGGTAATTATTACAGATAGGTAAATCGTTAGTTGTTTATTAAATTTATCAAATAGGGCCTACTTTTTAAAAATTTGTTGGTGCGCCTATGGTTACTTGTATAAACACACAATCAGAAATTCAATATTTTACTAAAGCAAGTTGGGTCAGATCGTAATATTTTTAAGCCCAGAATCTTCTCCTTCGCTTTGGGACCATTACTTATGGACCACCCTGTATATACATACTCAAAAATGTATTGCATAAAAAAATAAACATTTAATACAACGAATTATTTGTAAAATTACTCAACAATTTAACAACAGACATTTTAAATAATAAAATGGGCAGTGGCATTTCAACTATATAATATGCAAAACATTTTTGAGTATGTAAACTTCAAGAAGATTCGCTTTCTTTTGATGGCGAACGCAGTATAATGTTTGTTGTTAAATTTAATATTTTTTAGAATGACTAAACTGAAATATTACACTTTGCACTTTGCAATAATTGCACTTTGTACAAGAATGAGGTACATGCAATTTTGTACATTTTTGCAAATTTTCATTAGTACTTTAAATAATAATAATAAATATTTTATACAAAGTATTTATTAGAAAGTATAACAGCAAGATTTGAAATTGACCCTTCATAAAGCAAAAGAAAAAGTTTTACTGGTATTGTAATATTTATAGAACAGGTAGGCAATTTAATTTACCGAGAATTGGGGAAGTTATTAGTAATTGTGATCAGTATTTATTTTTAAAGGTAAATACACCCATCTTCATTAAGCAAGATTAATGAAAATAAGCACGAAAAGATTGCTATAGTATTATATTATGTATGGAAAAGCAAGTAGTTAATTCAATTTATCGAGAATTACAGAAGTATCAGAATTATATATAGGGTCAGTTTTTTCCGATGTTTAGTACAGGGATCTCGGAAACTATAGGAGATAGAAAAAAAGTTGAAATATGCAGTTTTGCAGTTATGCAAAATATGACATCTATCAAAGTATTTAAATATATTTAAATACTCGCTGAACGCTCGGAAAGGGGGTTGAGCCCCCTTTCAACCCCCCTTTCTTATTGGGGGGTATCTTCAAAAACACCCTGTACATTAAATGTACTGTCGACGTCTCGGCCTCCTATGCAAAGACATTTAAATAACGAAATAATTCCACCCCACTTTCCCCACAACAATACATATAGTTGGCCTGCATTCGGGAGAAAAAGAGCGCCATATAGTGAATCGTAAATCTGTTAAAGCAATTCGAAAGCAAAACGGAGATAACTATGCATTATTATAGACAGATACACGTTTACCTGTTCGTAGAACCGGCCAGAAACGTGACTGATTCAAATTCCGGAGAACGAAAGGTGTGTTTCGTCTGTTCGAAAGGAGCACATCATTAAACAATAGCCGGTGCAACGGTAGAGGTCACATTTTTTTTTTCAATTTCGCCTTCGGCATACATCTCATGATATATTCCACTGTATCTTATGTCATCTCGTTAATTCAATTTCCAGCAGATTGATGATAATGGGAATATGTAATCGGTTTTCTGGGATTTGTTTTCGTTTTATTAAAATTGCAATTGATGGTGGAATTAGACGCAGCACAATTTGTATTTATTTAATTTCACTACATAATACGAGGGTAAGGTGAAAAGTTCTCGACCTGACAATTAAAGATCGCGATTTTCAGTTTAAAAATTACATTATTCTTCTTATTAAATCAACATATTTAGTTCTGGGCAGTTCTAAATGATTCTGAAGCGTTCTAAATGGTTCTAAAGCGTTCTAAATGATTCTAGACAGTTTTAAATTATTCTGAAGCGTTCTAAATGGTTTTATAGAGTTTTAAATGATTCTGGGGCATTATAAATATTTCTAGATGGTTTAATAATTCTGAAGCGTTCTAAATGATTTAGGAGCGTTTTAAAAGGTTCAGGAGCGTTCTAAATGGTTCTAGACAATTCTGATTGATTCTGGGACATTCTTAATAGTTATAGACAGTCTTTAAATGATTCTGGATCGTTCGATAAAATGGTTCAGAAGCGTTCTAAATGGTCCTAGACAGTTCCAAATGATTTAGGCAGAGAACTTTTCACCCTACCCTCGTATAATTAGTTTTGGTTTCAGAAAGGTGTAAATAAATAAACATTTTACCACATTAATCATTTGTAAATGTTGTGGGACAGATAAGTGGAAGAGTTTACCTGAAAATTACATAAGCATTTATTTTTATTAATTAAAGATTTTTCCTTATCTGAACAAATAAACATAGAAATATCTTTATAGCTTGCTCTACCCATTGTTTTATCTTGGATGATTAAAGATTTTAGTATGTTTTTTTAGAAAGCTGTGGAGACGGAGAAATTGAATTAACAAAATAACAAAATTAATTTGCTAGAATGCACAAGATCGGTCGATTAAAAAAAAACATTATCAAACTATGCAAATGAAACTTGCCATTGGGATTTTAATATCAATATAAACATTTATCGGCTAGAGAAAATTCTAATATGTTGAATAAATCCGTCGAACGCTAATAAAATAAACAAACAAAGCGGTTGTGTATAAAAAAAAACGGAATTTTTCGATTACAAATACCGATTTTTGCGAGAATTTGCATACACGAATGTATTAAAATCGAATTAATTCGGCGATTGAATTAGGATAATCGTACGGTACTTACGAATTACGAAAATCTCGAATATCCCTCACCTTTGAACTCTCTCGACGCAGTTCAATCGAAAATAACGAAGACAACAATAACAATGTATGAAATTATTATTTTTTTTATGTCCTATCACATCCTCGTGCACTGCGTTATTTCGTACGGAAAAAATATCCCGCGATTTTTTATCCCGAATAAAAATATTTTATTGACCAGCGTCCGCAGGAGAAATCGCGAGCGCTTCGACACGCTACGCTCGATTCGACTCGACTGCGCTCAATCTTCTCTCTTCTTTCTCTCCTGCTACGAATTATGAAAGCATTCCTGCTGGGCGCGCTGTTGTCGCTTCTTCCTAAAAGTCGCAGATTTCGGGATTTTTTTTTATGAATGGATAAGACTTCGTGATTAGAAAGTGGTGCAAAAGAAATGAAATATGCAGAATAAGGACTTGTTAATACTGTGATTTTTTTACTAATCTTGTGGAAATTCCGCCATACGATGGTACGCCGAAAAGTTCTCGCCCTGAATCACTTAGAACGATGCAGAATCATTTAAGACTGTCTAAACCGTTTAAAACTTCATCAAAACCAATTTAGAATGCATCAGAACCAATTTAGAACGGTTCAGAATCATTTAGAACTGTATAAAACCATAAGAAGAACGCATCAGAACCAATTTAGAACGGTTCAGAATCAATTAGAACTGTCTAAAACCATTTAGAATGCATCAGAACCAATTTAGAACGCTTCAGAATCAATTAGAACTGTCTAAAACCATTTAGAATGCATCAGAACCAATTTAGAACGCATCAGAACCAATTTAGAACGCATCAGAACCAATTGAGAACGCATCAGAACCAATTTAGAACGCTTCAGAATCATTTAGAACTGTCTAAAACCAATTAGAATGCATCAGAACCAATTTAGAACGCTTCAGAATCATTTAGAACTGTCTAAAACGATATAGAACGCTCCAGAACCATCTAAGACTGTCTAAACCGTTTTAAGGTTTCAGAACCATTTAGAAAGCTCCAGAATCAATTAAGACAATGCAAACCGTTTAGAATGCTTCGGAACCATTTAGATCGCCCCAAAATAAATTCCAGAATCATTTAAAACTGTCTAAAACCATTTAGAACGCTGCAAATGCATTTAGAACTGTCTAGAACAATTAAGAACGCCCCATAATCGTTTAAAACTGTCTTGAACCATTTAGAACGCTTCAGAACCATTTAGAGCTGTCTAGAACTAGAGATTTCGCCTTAATAAGAATAATGTATAATTTTTCAACTTAAAATAGCGGTCTTTCGTTGTGGGGCCGAGAACTTATCACCTTACCCTTGTATTTTAGAAACGTAAAAAAACGAATTTTTACTCTGCATATTTAACGCGAAAAGAAAAACAAATTGAATAAAAATAGACACACATTAAATGCATTTTAATTTTCTTCCATAATTGTAAATACTTTACAATTCTTCGTTTACTGGTAAGTATGAAAAGATGGATATTTTGAGATATGATAAGCACAACACAACTTAATCAAAACTGTAGTTACATATATTTGAACAAAAAAAAAATAATAATAATAAAATCAGTCAACTAGAGATTCGGTACCTCGCTGAAGAGAAAAGAAAAAGCATAATTACACTTTCGGATAATACTGATAAAAAAAATAACCGATGTGCCATCTATATCACATGTACAATGGACAGTTTCGAAAACAGATTTTTTTTATCCATAATACGAGTATCTCAGTCGTTGCGGTGTTGCCGATTCGAAATTTGAACTGAAATCGCCTGGAATTGGAAAGTTATTTCTTTTATTACAAAATGATTCAAGTATGAAATTTTATTAAAACAAATCGAACTAAATAACTGCCCAAACAACAGGTTTACTACAATGTATTTCGATAAATAATATTAAAGTTACGAGTACATAAAAAAAAGAACTAAATAATATTGTATTTAAGGCAACAATTTAAAAACCGCTCTAGACTAAGATATCAGAGTTATATACAAAGAATAGCTAATAACATATAATAGCCATTGTAATTGCACGGATAAAAAAGAAATTAATACAATGTGTCTACAGAATTTAAACGAGTCTTTTTTTCTTCAATTTCAACAATACAGTGCCTGCTTTTTAGGGAAAAGTAGTTTTTAAAATGTTTTTTTTTCTTCCATAAGTTCGTATATCCTTCACACTAGGTAAAATAATATAAAAAATAACAATTAGGCTCTTAGTAGTTCACTTAATCAACTAAACTTTTGTACATTTTCAATCTTTCGTTCGTTCGTTTTTCATGTTTTTTTCTTCTTCTTCTTCGATCATCAATTTATTTACACTATTAATCATTCCGGCACATTTCTCATTCACTTCGAGTCATCGACAAAACACCAATCACTTTTGCGTTTCGGTCACCTGTGCGTCGAATCGTTCATGTCAAATAAAATTTGCGCTATCGTCCTTGATGATTCGACGTTGCTCAGAGCTACATTAGCTAAATGGGATTCATACGATTTTAAGTACCTGAAATTTTGAAAAAAAAAAAAATACACGTTAAAAAAATATATAGCAAGTTGTAATGATGTGATAAAGTTCGTACGTTTTGAAATGACAATGACGTCACGAGCCAGCCTATTGCAACGTTGCCGGGTTGCTATCGAAATCCTTTATATGTCGCATACATTTAATATAAGGTTATGTTTACTTTCATTGTTTACGAATTAAAAATAGCCGCTAGGAGTAGAATTTAAACGTGAAAAAGAACAGCGGAAAGGAAATAGAAACTCGCGATAATTAATTTAACTGAAGATTATAATTCAGAAATTACAGCAAGAACTTAGGATAAGCACATAGAAAAACTATCTAAAACGGACCGAAAGAAACAAAACTACTCGTAAACTTGAGATATAGGACAAAGGAAAAAATCTCTGGGAATTTAGAATTGCCTAAAATCATTTAGAATGCTCCAGAATCATTGCATGAACTGGTTTGAACCATTTCGTCTAGAAATGTGTAAAATCATTTAGAACTGGTAAAATCAATCTAGAACGGTCTAGAATTATTTAGTGTATAGAACTGTATAGAATCATTTAGAATACTTCAGAACCATTTAGAACGCTCCAGAGCCATCTAGAACGTTCCAGATTCATTTAGAACGCTGCAGAACCATTTAAAATCGTCCAAAACCTTTTAGACCGCTCCAGAATCATTTAAAACCGTCTAAAAACATTTTAGAACGCTCCAGAATCATTTGAAAATGTCTAGGTTTATTTCAAACTTCTCATGATTATTTAAACCGGTTCAGGACGATTTAAAATGATTTCTGGACGATTCAGAACTGTTCACGAAGAAATGACAATAGTTCAAAACATTTAACAATGCTCAAGGACGATTCAAAACAGTTTTACTAGACATTTTACAATTGTTAGAATCATTTATAACTGTCTACATGTCTACAACAAACTGGAACTCATCAGTCTTTTAGAACGAACCAGAACCATTTAGAACTGTCTAGAGCCATTTAGAACGCTCCAAAAAAAGACAAAAATCGCCGAGAAAGTCATAAAAACAACAAATTGTAGTCAAACAAATTGTAGTGTGGCAACAACGCATCGGCAATTGTCGTAATTGTCATTTTAAAACGTACGAACTTTAATTTGATAATAATTTACCTTTTACAGTGACTGCTATAAATTACAAGATTCCTTAATATTAATGACGCTGTTAGTCGAATACTTTTTGTAACGGGTCCTTCGTTTTCGTCCTATAAAAAAAAGAGAGAATAATCAATAATATATAAATATAAATTTAAGTTTAACAAACTAAATGTCATGCTAGAAAAGGAATCGAATTTGTACCTACAAAAATAAATTAAAAAAAAAATTATTGGAAACTAATATCAGTGCAGTAATAATGGAATACATATGTGCATAGTATTTCTGTGAATTTTTAATTCAGGGAAAATTGCAAACAAAATGATTATACACTGACAGTTATGTTGCGAATAACTAACAGTAAAAATATAAAGTATTATTTGTATTTTTTTACATAATTAGTTCTTATGTTAACTGTCAGTTAGAATCAAAATAAACTGCGCAAAAGTAATACGAATTTCCAATTGAATCGAGTGTTGCAAAAACCATTGTGTGCAGATAGACCGGGTCAGTCTGCTGCGATGTAGACATAGGAATAACACAAGTGGGAGAAAGATAGCTTATCTGACTATTATAATAGAATGAGAGAAGAGAGAAGGTATACAAAAGTGAAGGTACTTGTTCTAGTAAATAAAAAAAGCCAAATTTCCATAGTAAAATCAAGTAATGTAAATCATGGTGTAGCCCCGTTAAAAAGCTCTCATAGACGAGGTTGTTCCATAATTAATTTTCTATAGGAGGGGTGTATCAGCGATTTCCATAACAAAACAGAAACAGCCTTCTTAATCCTCCAAAAAATAACCTATTATTGGTTTAAATTTGGTCTAATGGAAGCCTAAATTTGGAATATTGTTAGTCATATATAACGCATAAATCAACTCCTTGAAAACCTGGAAACAATCTGTCCAGTAAATACGCGGTTACAAAACCGGGGGAAGAATGTTTTTAGATTCTAAAAGTCTTTAAACACCAAGGGCACGAGAACTCCAAAGGTTCACAAATATATCGGTGACCTCCGGCAGAAACAATGGCTCCTTTTTAACGCTAATAAATAGTTTAAAAAGTCCCTTTAATGCACACAATGTCCATATACAGTATGTACGAACTGATCCGCTGCAAGCATATAATGAGAATAATGAGATAGCTAATTTAACTTTTGCTATGTAAGGAATAAAGAGAACATACGAAATAGTCACGCCCGCTATCCCCGCTATTCGCTAGTGAACGAAGCGAAGCGAATTGACGAATTCTAATATCGGCCGGCAACCGATAAACAAGTTTCTGTTCTTTACTATCTTATAGTATTGATTGAGATTCTAATTCTAACGCTTGCAGTGGAAGAATTCGTACACTCTGTATAGTTACTGTAACTTAAACAGCGATGATGCGAGATGATTATTCCCAAGTCCATTTCGCCGCAAGCGGACTCGGTACAAACATAATGCTTTATAATCTACGAAATTTTACAATAACAATTCAACAATAAACCGAATTTATTCATTACAGTTTAAGCAAAAAGCACAAACGGATAATACAGGGTGTTCCTAAACTAAATGCACATCCGAAAGATAATATTATTCCTTCAAATTTCATGATTTTTCTTGTTTTTTCTTTAGAGCTCCTGCAGTTTTTGAGATATTTAGCTCAAATTAGGTATATAGGATATAGGGTATAATTTGAGTAGGAGTGGGTCACTTTCAACATTTGTTATAATGTAGTTTAATATTAATTATTATTTAGGGATTTTGTATTGTAAAATAAATCATTTGTGCTGAAAATAGCTATTCATTTTTTTTCTCGACGGCCACAGAAACGAAAAAAGTTTCCAAACAAAAAAAAACAAATCATTTTGTATTTTAGAATCTACCAGCGGCACACAGCAAAAAAGTTCGGTGGAAAAAGGGGTACATGACCCTTGAAAAAATATCACCCTGTAGAATTCAACAACCATCTGACATACTCAATAAAGTATGCCCTATAAAGCAATCTAGATTCAAAACTTTAGCTAAATATCTCAAAAGCTGCAGGAGCTACAAAGAAAAAACAACAAAAATTTTGGAATTTCAACTCCCTGTAGTTCGGTAACTTTAAAGAATTAACCCCGGATGTGCACAATGTTTAGGAACACCCTGTACACTTAAACTAGAAATGAAGAAATTTGTTTACGTGGCACATCAAGCATTACAAAAAACAATAAAACAAACATCACAATACAAAAAAACAACAGTTCAGGAACGTTGATAACTTACAAAATGCTTTCAATAAACTAAAAAATTAGAGTAATCAATTTCGTTTTCTAAGTTCCCAAACCGCGAATATAAAAGAAAAATAATAATTTAAAAAAAATAAAACGAATCAAGCATTCAAACATCATAAATTAACACTCACTATAAGCCGACACCTCACCTGGTCGGAAGAAGGTGTGGAACCACCGCGGGCGATAACTGCTGTTAAACCAGCAGCGACGGGTTTCGTGGATTTCAGCTTCGACAAATTACAAAAAGAAAATAAATAAAACATCGATTCCATTATTTTCGTTTTTTTTTTGTCTTTCTCGCATTAAACTCGAATATATCCCATCGATATGCCGAAGTAAGCGGTTACAAGTTGTTGAAACTATATCCCCCCCAACCCATCTCTCGAGGCGATCGAATCGAAAAAAAAAAAATATTTTCGAATACTTACTTGCAATTCCTTCGGATTGACGAACTCCAAGGCGTGTCTTTTGATGGCGTGCAAAGCGGCGTCGGGCGCGTAACCGGGATGGGGACTGGGCGTCGCGGGCGCCGGAGATTCGGGCTTGTTCGACTGGGCTGCCTGTTTTCGTTTGGCCAAACTTTGTTTCATCGACTTCGGTAATGAAAAGAAAAAAAGAATATCAAGTTTTCGTAGTTACAACGATTTAACGCTCATAAAGGACATTCGCGATCGCTAGGCAATGACGTCACAAGTCAACATGTTGCAACGTTGCCGGGTTGAAATGAAAATCTTAATGTGACAGATATATTTAATTTATGGTTATGTTTACTATCATTGTTTGGTAATTAAAAAGAAGAAATGCATTAAGCTGCAATCCGATTGACGGGAGAGGTGTTTATTTGTAAAGCTTCACAACCTTCTAAAACACAAATATACATTTAAAAAAACTATTCGTAAGTTTAACATAACCAATAAATTTCAAAGTGCTGAACTATTGAAAATATTGATCAGGAATTAATCGAGAAAATAGGGCCTCCATCGTCCCGTTCCCTCCCAAATTAGGTCGAAAAACACCGAAAATTGCGGGAGAAACTGTCGATAAATGTACATAAACTGCACTAAAAAGTATCTATAACGGTTTTGTGTTTTTCGTTCGTTCTAGATAGTTTTTCGTTACCAAAATATGACGATAACAGATCGATAAGAACTTATCTTTCTGTTAGCGATTTAACAGACATATTGGTTAATATGCCGGTTAGTATTCCTTACCTCCGTATTGCAGTGCTTGTCATGGAGATGGGTCATCAGGGAAAATCGTTTCCTTTTCATATTATCACATCTATCCCATTGGCAAATGATCTCCTCGCTGCCGGTCGGACAATGCGACGCGCAAGCGTGAAGGTAGACTTCGTTCGCCGATTTGAACGCCACATCACTACAAATAATAGTAACAATAATTCGACCAAAAAAAATAATATACTTGAGAAGAACGAAAAGGTCTCGGCCTGAATCATTTATAACTCTCTAAAACCATTTAGAACACTCTCCATAGTCATTTAGAATGCTCCAGAATCATTTTGAACGTTCCTAAATCAGTTAGAACTGTTTAAAACCTTTTAGAACGCCGGAACCTTTCAGAACGTTTCAAAATCATTTAAAAAGCTCCAAAATCATTTGTTATTAGAACGCACCAGAATCATTTAGAACTGTCTAAATAGCAATTATAACGCTCCAGAATCATATAGTACTGTCTATAACAATCTCGAACGCTCTAGAGTCATTTAAAACCGTCTTGAACTAAATATTTTGACTTAATAAGAAGATTAATGTAAATTTTCAACTGAAAAACTACTAAAAACAGACAAAAACACATAGAAAAACGGATCTAAAACTGACGAAAAAAACTACTTGAAAACTTGAAAAGAAAAGACAGTGCAAAGGCAAATATCGCTGGGAATCTTTTAAAATTCTCCAGAACCATTTAGAACGTTCCAAAATCATTTAGATCGCCTCAGAACCATTTAGAATGCTCCAAATCATTTAGAACGCTCCAGAATCATTTAGAACGCTCCAAATTCATTTAGAACGCTTGATAATCATTTGAAAATGTCTAAAACCATTTAGAACGCTCAATAGTCATTTAGAATGCTCCATGTCATTTAGAACGTCCCAGAACTATTTAGAACTGTCTTAAACTAAAGATTCATATAGTACTGTCTATAACAATCTCGAACGCTCTAGAGCCATTTAGAACCGTCTTGAACTAAATATTTTGACTTAATAAGAAGAATAATGTATCATTTTTGAACTGAAAATCGCGGTCTTTCACTGTCAGGCCGACAACTTTTCACCTTTCGCTTGTAGTAGTTATATAATATAATAACTTACATAGTACAATCGTTCCATTCGCAAACGAACGGCGACGTCAAATCTCTAGTTCTCCTTCTAACGTTCTCACTTCTATCGCTTATCACTATACTGGTATTTTGCGTTTGCGTCGTATTCGTATTGGTATTGCCACTCGATACCGATTTGATCGATTTGTTAACGGCAGATACGTTATTCGATACGGACGAAGTGTGCATCACCGGCCTGGGAACTTGAGTAACGACGACCTACGGACATAAATTATTTATCTAAGTTCCTTTGTAAGTTTTAGCTTAATTGCTAATATTATGCTATTATTGGTGTCCAGGGGCCTGTTTCATATAACTGACAAGTTGACAAGTTACAAGTCGACAAGTTACAAGTGTTGGTTGACAAGTATTTAAAAATTTCGTTTCATAAAATAAATTTCGACACTTGTCGAATTAAATTTTTGGCATCCGTTTTTCTACAACTGTAATTTTAATTAAACGTCAGACTTAAGCCAAAAAGAAAAAAATAGTACTTACTATACTGGGGAGCATAAGTATCACCACCTTCCTTTTTTGATATTGGGAAACTTTTACTTTGAAATCGTTTTTTTTTTCTGGTTGGAGCTATTTTTAGATGTGAACCACGACAATTTCGTTTATTGACAAAAAACTTATTTTTAAAATGCAGCAACATTTTTTTTAATATTCAATTATTTTAATAAAGAAAGGGCATTCTATTTGGAAAATTTAGTCCCACTTCTACAAAAGCTATAAAATGTGAGCATTGAAACGAACAAAGACAATGCATAATTTCTATACGTTGGTTCTATACAGTAGGCGGGGACCAATAGATTTTATTATTTCCTCAATTTTTATCGAATTCATTCGAAATCTTTTATTGAACTCTCATTAAGCTTCCTCCTCACTGTCGCTTGACCACATTTTCTTTTAAATTTACAAGAAAATCGGATGGTGACAGGAAATCAAATCCCTGTCGCTTTACACTAATATATGATAGGAATAAATGACAAGTGTTGTTTAATTTATTTTTTATGAAACGCAAACCTATCTACAATTGTAAAACAGACTTGTAATATTAGGCTAGTCACTTATCACTAATAATCTACTCGTGTAATTTTATGAAACACAAACTTGTCAAATACTCCAGTCAAATTTAGACTACACTTGTCCGACAGGACTTGTCAGTTATATGAAACAGGCCCCATGTAATGTGACACACAAGACAGAGCAAAAGAAATGTTTACACCATATAAATAAATAACAAATTTAATATCGAATTACCTGTTGTCCTTGCGGCGTGACCACCACCTTCTGGTGTTGCGTGGCGCCGCCGCCGCCTCCCCCGCCGCCCCCGCCACCGCCTGCGCTCGGCTGCTGTTGCAATATAATGATCGTCTTGGCGCCGGTGCCTTGCTGTTGCGCCGTTTGCGCCAACAAAACGGTCTGCGGTTGGGCGTTGTGCATAACGGCGTTTTGCGGTTGAGCCACCACGTAGGCGGCCCCTTGACCGTTACCGCCCGTCGTCTGCAACACGTACTGTTGGCCCGATTGCGAGGCGACGATTTGCATTTGACCTTGGATGCCCTGCGACAACAGTATCTGGCCGGCGGCGTTCGGCTGGGCGAGCACCATCGATCGTTGACCCGACGACGTGTTTTGCACGATCACCGTTTGGCCGGATTGCGTTTTGACCGAAGTACCGGATTGGAACACCATCTGATTGGCGGCGTTCGGCAATTGCCCGCCCGACGATACGATGATCTGTCGCGGTTGGTGCGCCAACAACACCTGCTGGTTGTTCTGATCGACGATGATCTGTTGCAGGGGACTTTGGGCCGGTTGGAGTTGCACCTGTTGCGCCGCCGCCGCCGCCGACGACGGCGCGTCGCCGCCGCCCGCCTCTTGCATCAGTTGTTCTTCGTCTTCGTCCTCTAAAATGTCGGCCGCTATGTCGGCGAACAATTTGGCGGCGGCCGTCGAGACGCCCGTCGACGGACCGTCGTCGCCGTTCGAACTCGACGAATCGGGGGCGGGCGAATGGGCCGCCAACGTGCCGTTTACGTTGACGTTGCTCGCTAATAACGGTCGTTTCGTTTCGGTCGGTTCCGTTATATCGTCCGACGAACACCTTTTTAGCGATACCTACAATTACATTAATAATGCATTAATTGATCGATAATGAGGATTATCGAAGCATTGCAACGCTACTTCTCTCTGCTTTAACCGGTTAAACCTAGGTTTACCCTTTCGTAACAAATAATTATTAATTCTGTTGATAAATGCCATGAGTGGTATGATTAAAACGAGTATTTGTTTATACTTTAAGTAAATGCTTAATTTCGTAATTTTCACTTTAAAAAATTATGGAATTACTCCATATAATTCTTAAAGTTTGACTAAAGTAAGTACTAGGAGCAATTACTTCATACTTTGCTAATTCTAAAGAAATTACTAATGTTGTCTAGTATTTCCTCCATTTGGGAGTGTTTGGTGCAGTGTTTAAGAAGCTGATCAGAGAGTAGCTTCTTATTAAATACTTCACCTAAAAAGGTGTTAAAAATGGCATTGTTTGTGAATTATGGTAGGAAAAGTAGGAAAATATGTGAACGTAGAACTTATAGAGATGCACAATATAGAAAATTATTTCGGTTCAATTATTTTAGGTAACTTTCTACCATCAAACACTATGCTTTAATCCAACAATGTTAAATAGGTAGCCATTCTAATGAATTTTTGGGAACTCAAATTGAGAGTTGGTTTATATATCGGGATACATCAAACAACCGTGTCAAAGGTAATTAAAGAAGTTACTCAAAAAATTGTGTCGAAGAAAAATGATTGGATTTCTTTTTCTCAAAATGTACAAAAAATCGAATTAGCTAAAGATGTCAAATAAAGTCTTACTTGAAGTACAAACAAATACTCCTTTTAATCATACCACTGCATAACTTGATATGTCGAATTTATTAAATTTCACAATTTGGATTACTGTCAAAATTATGAAATTGTCCCAAATTTCTTCAGCTAAATATTAAACTTTCACCGTTACATTATACCATCTTGTTGATGTCAACCAGAGGAAAGAAACCCATCCCTGAGGTACTAATAACTTAATTTTATCAAAAAGTAGACATATACATATCAAGTTAAGGCATCTATCGATGAAATGGAATAGCGTTAATTACCATTTCCCTTTCCGGTTGTTCGTTCTTGATATCCACCTCCATTTTGATGCATTTCTCGGCATTCGCCTCAATCTCCCTGCTCAAGGCCTTCTCGATGTGATTCTCGACCAAATCCATCGCCTTGTCGCCCAGTCTTAATTCTTTGCCGAGCGCACCGTTCAACAACATGGGCGGGCTCTTTTCGAACTTCTTTTCTAAGAGATCAGCTAACCTAAGCGGTTTATTCACAGATATTTCACTACTCGATATTTTTACAAAATCTTTGGAATCGCTGTCGTCGTTTAGGGCGTTTTCAATGGCCGGCGGTATGCCGTTCAATAGGCCTTCGAAACCCGTCAGGGAATTTTCGCCGTCGTCCGTCGACGATACACCTCCTATACCTAAAAAAAAAATATATACAAGACATTTTAAATATAACGCATTCGTTTAAATTAGAGTTTGTACGTTTTAAAATGACAATGACGTCAAGAATCAGCCTGTTGCAACGTTGCCGGGTTGTAAATGAAATTCTTTGTATGACAGAAACAATTTAATTTAAGGTTATGTTTACTTTCAATGCTTACGGATTAAAGAAGTCACAAATAGAAGAATTTAAATATGATAAAGAACATCGGGAGGAGATACGAATTCTACGAGGGTAAAGTGAAAAGTTCTCGGCCTGAATCATTTAGAATTGTCTAGAACCATTTAGAACTGTATAATAGCAATTATAACGGTCCAGAATCATATAGAACTGTCTATAACCATCTAGAACGCTCCAGAATCATTTAGAACTGTCTAGACGCATTTAGAACGGTCTAATAGCAATTATAACGGTTCAGAATCATATAGAACTGTCTATAACAATCTAGAACGCTCCAGAATCATTAAAAACTGCCTAAATAGCAATTATGACGCTCCAGAATCATTAAGAACTCTCTAAATAGAAATTATGACGCTCCAGAATAATATAGAACTGTCTAAATAGCAATTATAACGCTCCAGAATCATATAGAACTGTCTATAACAATCTAGAGCTCTTCAGTATCATTTAAAACTGTCTAGAACCAATATATAACCATATATAACCAATATATAACCAATATAGAACCGTCTATAATGACCTAGAACGTTCCAGAATCATTTAGAACCGTCTTGAACTAAAGATTTTGACTTAATTAGAAGTAAAATGTAATTTTTCAACCGAGAAACTACTAAAAACAGACACATAGAAAAACGTGGGAGAAATTGATAAACGTACAGAAACCGCACGAAAAACGAATCTAAAACTGACGAAAAACACAAAAACTACCCGAAAACTTAAAAAGAAAAAAACAGGACAAAGGCAAAAATCGCTGGGAACCTTTTAGAATGCTCCCGAATCATTTGGAACTGTTTAGAACCATTTAGAACGCCGTAGAACCATTTAGAACGCTCTCCATACTCATTTAGAACGCTATCCATACTCATTTAAAACGCTCCAGAATCATTTAGAACTGTCTAAAATCATTCAGAAAGCAGCAGAACAATTTAGAACGCTCATTTTAGAACTGTCTAGAACCATTTAGAATGCCCCAGAATCATTTTAAACTGTCTAGAACAATTTAGAACCCTCCAGCATTATTTAGAACAATCTAGAATCATTTAGAACGTTCCATAACCATCTAGAACGCTTCAGACAAAGACAAAAATTGCTGGGAAAGTCACAAAAATAACAAATTGTAGTCAAAACGTGTCAACTACAAATAACGGAATTTTGATAATAACGATATGGCAACAACGCCCAAAAAATTCGCCCAATCAAATGGCGGAATTAACATTGACACCCAGGGAAATGTTAATCCGCATGGAAATTACTAAAAAAATAACGTCATTGACATTTTAAAACGTACTTTAGGTGTAAAAAAGTTTAGGTTTAAAAAACTTTACAAGAAAAATAATAAAAAATGCGACAATACCTATGGTACCTATTCCGGAACTCGAAGCCAAGGAATTGTTACCGATCGAATCGCTGTCTTCGTTGTCGATTCTCTGCGACCGGTTGCCGCCGCCCTTTACGTTATTACTGAGCGGCGCCAGAGGCGGGGGCGGCGGTTGGGGCGGTTCTTTTTTACCTTTTGTCAAATCGCTGAATTGCGTCGTAGACGATACGGACGGATCGCCGATTTCGATGTCCGAGAATAGTTGCCTGACGCCGTTCAATCGGTTCGAATTCGCCGTTTCCTTCATCGGGGTTTTGTTCAAATTCTCGTTAGATTGTTGCTGTTGGTTTTGTTGCTGCGCCAACAGGCGTTGTCTAGCTGCTACCTGATAGGTTCGATAAATTTTCGATTAGTATTTTTTTTATTTTTGTGGGTGAGATATATCTATTTGTAATAAAGAAATAATAATTTAATGACGAATACTTTTTCAGAGTCAATTAGTAACGCTGACAACTAAAGGCGTTGTTAGTTATAAACACAAACTCATGCACTTGGACGAATTTAGTCAATTAATTTGTATCAAACTGTTTAGAAACATTATAATATTCAATTTTCGACTAAACTTACTCAATTTGATAAATTAACTTTCTTTGTTTTTCGTTGAATTTATTAAGGTTTTTATTGTTAATTTATTATTACAATTGCAGATCTTTCAATCAATTCCATATAATTCGATACCTATTTGATTACAAGGGCGAATCGAATATGAACCGGAATTTTCTTTTTAACGCTCCATAGGTGAAGTAAGTAAAAATATAGTATAGTCTTGATATACAGTATGTCTGAAAAAGTTGGCAACATATAGGAAACTTTTTTATTTGATACAATAGTAAAGTACCTTTATTTTTTACAATACCGAAAACTTGAATTATGAAAAGTTGTTCCAAATAGAAAACTATGTTGTAATATGCATTTTTGCTACTTATTCTTGAAGTACGATTACTGACGTTATAATTTTGGTTACATTAGTTACAATTACATTTCAATGCACACTAACTAGATGTAATGTATTATTTATTTCTCGAAAGCTTTTACTAAACTGACTTTCGGAAAGAGAAATGTCATTGTCAGAGTCACCTAGATTTTAAATTATTTCATTTAAATTTGTGTATTACAGTAGAAAATACATTATTCTGTTGGTTATTACTTATTTATTACTGATTTAAGTTCATTGCTAAATTATTTCAAAACAAGAAATAAACATTTGAGGTGTATTGACTTGTTAAATGAGAAAAAAGTTGACGTGTTTCACAACTAAAATTAAGTTGCAGGTGCAGTTGGAGAAACGCAGGACAAACCCATTCGAAGTGCCATTTTACCATTATGCAAAATTGTATTTAATTTACCAAGACTTTCTAGAGCAAAATTCCGGGGTTCATATTCGATTCTCCCTCGTATAAAACAACCTAATCCTATCGAAAGATCTCTCGAATAAATCAGCGAGTGAACGGTAAAAAAAAACTAAAAAAACTGATAAAAAAAAACGCTATGTGGTATTAGTGGTGTTACCTGAGCTACATTTTGACAGTCTGTGGCAGTCCTCATGCTCACTGTTGACATGCAATCGTTTACCTTTGTCGCCAGAAGGCTTTTTATTAGCGAGGTGTTACTCGTTTGACCTGTCGCTTGGTTATCTTTAACGGCACCCCCGGCCATTGTTAACGTCGATGTAGATGGCGCCGTCGACGCTGTACTGCCCAGTAGCGCTTGGCTCAAGTGCGGATGGGCCATGGCCTTTCGTATATAAAAAAAGAAGAAAATAATACAAACGTGTGACAAACTTTTGTACAAAAAAAAACTATCGTCGAATGAAAAACCATCGAGTATTAAACCCGTTTATTTTTTATTCAACTCTACTTCGATTCCAAACTCTTTTAAAGCGATTGAACATCGACGATTGAGGTACTAACATTCTACGAATATGATCGGTTAGTTTCAAGTGGGGCAGATTAGTGATGAAAACGATTTTCTAAGGTATCGGGAAAAAATCATCTAAATTTTCTACCTACTTAAAAACAACCGCTAATGTATTTCAATTTTTTTTCTGCACCAACACTGACAGACTCCCATCTCCCACCTCTATTAGCCAAACACAAAAATATAAAACGTATAAGGACCAACACCGTCGACTAAATAGGAATCTACAAGAGGCCGTGAATTAAGCACAGGATGATATATGAATAGAAATTGACTAGATAAATGTAAAGCTATAGAGAATGCTTTAATTTTTACGTATTATCGGATAATTGTTCAAGTTCGTGTCCGATTTTTATGAAATAGTTTAGCGAATTAGAAAGAACAAATGGAGGATATAATAATGAATGTTGTTTCTACACGATGAATGAGCATTCCTTTATGTTATTGCTAAGGCCAGAGTGAAGGGTAAATCCAAGTTAAACCATTTAATGTAAAAGTGAGGATTAACATGATGTTTCATCACTCTACTCTTTCTTGCCTTAACAGAGTTTAAACCAGAGACATTATAACTAAGAGACCAAATTGTTAACATTTTTAATGTGGCAAATCATTATATTCATACATTCGCCCAAATTCACAGCCTGTATTATCGCAGGTTGGGTTGTTGTCGGTTTTATTTTTCTGTAACAATTATTTGAAAAAATTCCTTTAAAAAAATGAATTAGTTGTATCCTATAATAAAATTTTTGTATTATTTAATAAAACAATGTTTTAAATAAAATTATTCTTTAAAATTTTAAGAATATGCAAGGTAAAAATAAAATAAAAATTAATATTTATTTCAAGAAATATTAAGACACTTAATAATATTAAGACACTAACATTTTTCATTGCAACAGAGGCTGTGGGTGCAGCAAAGACAACTTCAATTAGACACTTATAAAGGAAAAAGAAAAAGTGACATTATGTCATTGCAACTTTTCACTTTGACAACTGTTATTTTAATACTCTTTCTTTGTTCAACTCGTAGAAATGCCCATGTTGCAATCGCGAATGAAGCACAGTGTATGTTTTCATTTGAACCAGTCAAGTGGGGCACCTGATATTCTTTTAAAAATCGTTAAATTATTCTTATACCGATAAATAATTATTGAATAACTTATAGTAGCTACCTAAAAAATAAAAACTTGAAGAAAAATTAACGTTAAAAGAAGCCTTAAAAATATGAAAAAAGTAAATTTCGTTACAATATTGTTGAGTTCAAAACTTTACGCCACTGGTGATCATAAAGACTCTTTGATTACAATGTTGCCAGCCAGTCCTAAGAGATATGTCTTTATCTCTCCTACTTATTGATTAGAAATTTTAAAACAATAAGAGTCCGCAATTATAGAGAATTTATCAATGAAACATTTGGTCTCTTAGTTGTAATATCTTTAGTTTAAACCTAGATTTACCATTTTATCTGACCTCAGCCAAATAACATCAAATCGACCACGAATTTAGCACTATCCGATAAACAATCGTTCTTAATCGTAGCAAAAACTAAAAATCAACAAATAAATCTACGTTTTTTTTCTTCCTCTCTAGCGCGATTTCACCAACCAGTTCCTAAAGTTAGGTAATACCTAAACCAGATTTAGGAATTCCTAAGTACAATTTGCGTTTCACCATGCACTAAGTAATACCTAAAAGTAATAGGAAATGCCTAATGTTAGGACAACTCACTGGGCTTGCCTAAAACATTCAGGAAATACTTAACCATACTTTTTTATGTGATTTCATGTGACTTAAGACTTGACTGTCTTTAGATGAAAATCTAAAATGAGAGGAGTTTTGAGAAATTGGACGAAACTGATTTTTCCGCCTTTTTCGGTACATAAAAATACGGCATTACAAATATAAGAAAAAATTGAAGATGATTCTTAATTTGAACCACAGGAAATTTTCTGATACAAACTGGGGACTTAGCTGATGTGAGTCCCAACACAAGCAGCCGAGAGTAATTGAAAGGCTAACTGCAGGCTATCCAAATATTATGGAAACTATTGACCGTACACATGCATGTAAAGATCCATTGTCCTGGAGGAGAAGATGCAGAAATAATTTAGAAATCGGAAAGGTTGTTTTTCTTTTAATGTATAGGCTACATCTTCAGCAGATTTAAAATTAACTAACATAGTTTAAAGATGGCCCGGATCATCAAAACCTCTTCTTTTCTCTCAACATATTCAATTATGATCTTATTATTCGGTTTACACGTCAAAATTAGGTAATGCTACCAATAACATTCAAAAAATTGTCGAAATCAAATTTTTACCTAGGTATTTCTTAGTAAGGGATTTCCATAGACCTATTAAGTAAAGACGCGGCACAATCGGTATTTTGAGGTTATTCAGCGTTTCTAATGATAGAGAGAGGTCCGTGAGAGATGGAGCTAGTTTGAGCTAAAAGTAGGCGGGACAAAAAAAAATATAAAATATATACAGGGTGCGTAAAAAAAGGCTATTAATCTGTTAAATTATTTATACGCTTAATATTTAAATATTGTTTTTATCTTGGTATCCACTTGGACAGAAGAATGACCTGGAAGAAACATATTTTTTACAAGAGAAAGCAGCTAGGTCTTAAATTGCGAAATCTGTACTGGCTAATAGGTAGGCTGTTCCAATTAACAATACAAAATAAGAACTGTATTTGCAAATGAGTGGGAATTTAGGCTCAGCTGAAAAATGAATTTTGCTCGGTAAAAAAATAATAAATCCTCAACCCTATTCTACCATAAGCTACCCTCCTCTACCCCAGCTACCTTGCATATCTGAAAACGTAACTCACGTGGTCTTTTGCTTTCTTACTATTAGCTAATGCTTGGTCCAATCTCTCATTGCCATATGCCCAAACTAGCTGCATCTCTCTCATTCATCGACAACACTACCTCTTTGTCTAAACCGCGTCCATAGTTAATAGGTCTATGGGGATTTCTAATGTTGGTGAAATTCGATTCAAGTAATTCCTACCTTAAGAATTACTTAGTCAGGAAAAGCATAAGAACATGGTTGGTGAAATCGGGGCATCTATGTCGCAAAGTACGAGAGCGCGCCAATAAAAAAAAAATGCACGATATATGGCGCGAATCAATTTATTACCTGGCTTTTCACGTCGCCTTTGCTCGAGACGGGCGAGGGCGAGGGCGAAGGCGAAGGGACGCCGCCGTCCCTTTGTTTGGGAGGCGCGCTCAGTTGCGCCTTTAGTATCGGAGAGGCGGGAGACGAAGCGTTAACGACGTCCGTCGCGACGCCGTTGTTATTATCGGCGACGACCGTCAACGTGACCGTTTGCGACGGCGGCGCCGGCGCGTTAACGGGCTGTACGGATTTTCGACGCACCTGCTGTAGTTTGGTCACCGAGTTAGACGCAGCAGGTACGATCGTCGCACCGACAGGTTTGGTTACCGAGGACGGCGGGATATTGATTATGAGGGGTTTGTCGCGCACCTTGATGCCTTCGTAGTACTGCGGATCGCTCGGATTCGCCGGTTTCATCGGATTGGGACCCACGGTGCCGCCGAATACTGATCTAAACGTACAAATGTATTTCGTTAATATTACAACAAACGCAATCGTTATGTACGATATACACTGTTGGAAATTTATTCGCGCATAATAGGGAAATCGATGTTAAATTCTTAGCCGGCTGAAATACAGTCTACCAGTGTACATTTCAATAGAACGTCGCGATGAATTCTAATAAATTTAATTGTTCTACTGGACTTCACACCGCGCTTTGGTTTGGTTAGATTAAAAATCAAATAATTTCGACGGTTTCGACACTTCGACAGTATCAAAACGGGTTCGGATGGGTGAGCGTCGAGTCGATTACAAAGAAATGAGAATTTTTAAACGATAATTTATTGAAAAAATATCACTAATATTAAAATAGAATTATGTAGATATGTCTTTTTGCCACAATGGCTTGAAAAAGAAAGTAAATTCTAAGAAAATAATAAAAAGGAAACTCCAAAAATAAACTTAAAGATTATTTTAAAACAGAAAATAAAAGAACTCTAAAAAATAGTCCACCGCTTTCTGCTAAACTATAGCCAAACCTGTCATACAGATGTCAACCCATATTACTGAGCTGAGGTATAATTCTAGCTGAAAATTGAATTATTTTTTCCCTTATTTCAACAAGATTTTGTTGCTGTTTCAAAACTGCACCTACCGATACACACAATTTTTTGAAATATCCCCAAAAAAACTATTAAATGTAGTTTCTAAATAATTTTGTACCTCATACCTAACACAAATAACTTTGTACCTCTACAAATCGCGGCGTGCGGTCCAGTAGAACAATTAAATTTATTAGAATTCATCGCGACGTTCTATTGAAATGTACACTGGTAGACTGGATTTCAGCCGGCTAAGAATTTAACATTGATTTCCCTATTATGCGCGAATAATTTTCCAACAGTGTATACTGCTCCACAAAAGTTAAGGAAGTTTACAAATATTGAGATAAATTTAAAAGTTGCAGGTTTTTTGATCGCCAAATTTAGTATGAGTTGTAGAGATAGGGGCAAAAAATCCACTCAGATATGAGAGAAAACATTTAATTTCGCATATTTGAAAATTTGGTGATCAAAAAGTCTGTAACTTTTAAAATAATCGCAAAATTTGCGAACTTCCTTAACTTTTGCGGAGCAGTTTAGTTTAAACGGAGAATGGCGAACACAGAGAAGCGACACTATAGCTGTCGGTCACTTTGATATCGCGCCTACACTTTTCAGATTACTTAATACACTGAGAGAACGTGCTTTTTTCTACGCTGAGCGAACTAGCATGTCGAAATAAATGTTATAGTCCACGCGCAAATGTTAGAATGTGACTTATTTACATAAAAAATCCAAATCCAGTATGATTTATTTATTAACTGGAAATATGAATATACAGAGTAGATAACATTTTCATCATTTTGACCAACATTAAAGCTGAGACTGGCCACGTGGTTTTGAGTGAAAAACTACTTATTTCTCACATGCGTCCAAAACGATACCACCAGCAGTCGTTTCTCTGTGTTCGCTATTCTATGGTTTAAATAAGGTGTAAATCATGGTGTAGCCCCGTTAAAAAGCTCTCATAGACGAGGTTGTTCCATGATTAATTTTCTTATAGGAGGGGTGTATCAGCGATTTCCGTAACAAAACAGAAACAGCCTTCTTAATCCTCCAAAAATAAATCTGTTGTTGGTTTAAATCCACTTATAAAGGAAAAAGAAAGAGTGATAATCAGGTCGATTCTGTTTGTAAATAGCAATATGGTTATTGGTTATTTTGTAAAGATATTGTAATGTTAGCAATGATCTAAAGAAATAATCTATTCTGTTCGTGTAATTTAAACAATATGATCTGTCATTAGTAAAGATGTCTTGTTATAAACCTTGCTATTTGAACAATGTCATTTTTGTACTTGCTATTTGATAGCTAATCCGTTCATTTCTCATTGCTATATGAGTTATGAGTTTACATTTTTTTATAAATACGAAATACAAGTAACCCCTTTGATTTACCAAATGAACAATGTATAAAACTTAAATAAGGCTACAACGCTACAGCTTTAAATTTAATTCCACAGTTGTCAGAAGTTCTAGAAGAACCATTCCGAAGAGATACAACTCCTTTTTATCTATAAGTTGCGCTAGTTCAGAAAAGTATGATAAAAATAATTACTCATATTTTTTTAGGTTTTTTAAATATTTTTAACTATTACTTCCATTTGTTCCTTGCTTGGTTTCTTTGTTCGTCCTTTCATCATTTTATAAAAACCGCGTCCGCTTCCACAGCAGAAACACATGAAAAGCTGCCTTTAATGGCGTCAATTGTAATCGTAAAATAAAATTTAGGGAGGATTCTTCTTTTTTCGGTTATATTCAGATAATTACAGTGTTGTCAGCTTTATTTTTCACTAATGACAGCATATTTTTAGCAATATGGTTAAGCGTGAAAAATATAACCAACGTTGCTAAACTAATCGAAACAGAATAAGAAAATTTTTGGCAATATTGTTATAACTTAAACATATAATAACATGGTTATCATAGCCAGATTTATAACAAGATAACAGAATAGACCTGATTGTGCCATTGTAATTTAGTAATCTTTCTTTGTTCAACTCATAGAAATGATCACATTGCAAATTGAAATGAAGCAAGGTGTATTTTACTGTCCAGGGAACAAAACCTTGGGAAGAATGTTTTTATCCTAAAGATCTTGAAACAACAAAGACACTAGAACTTCAAAGGTTCACAAATATCGATGACCTCTGGCAGAAATATTAATGCTCGCATTCAGCGCACCATTTTAATGCTAATCAAAGGTTTAAAGTAAAGGGTCTTTATAAAGTAAACAATGTTCATAGTTGCTATAGAACAACAAATGTACAACATGTCAAGTAAAAAATACTCTTTAAACGATTGATTAGCGTTCAAAAGGATCGCTGAAAACTGGCAATGAACTTTATACAAAGCAACAACGATCTAATGTATCTCTAATAGTACCTCTAAAGTTAAGTATCTAATAGGTATGATTAAAAAAGGCACTTGCCTAACGCATCTGGGAAAATGCAAAGGCGATATGACGCCTCGCCTTCCGATGTTCGAGCAGGAACTTAAATAGTGCTTGTACAATTCCTGGTGGTCGATTTTGCCGGACGTGCACGGTTCGTACGTGGCCCTTAACCAAGCCAAGGCGAATTGCTCGTTCTCGTGGATGGCCTGCTGATGGGCGTGCTGCTGTTGGATCAATTGTTGCGGCGTCATTACCGTCGATGTTTGAATAACCGATGGCGTAGTCGGTAGAGTAGACATACCTTTTACGAAAAAAAATAAATAAAACGGATTAGTGTTAAATTCATTTCTGTATCTCGTTGTTGTATAGGAAAAATAGCTGAAGAAAACTGTTGTTATCAATAGCTTTTTCGTGGAGCAAATCGTGAACACATCTAGAGCACAAATAGAGTATGTACTGAACTTATGTGAATGAACTTATGAACATGTATGCACAACCGTGTATACAGACAAATGCAGGATTTGTTCAGGATATTAGAACACCGCGAAAGATTTATTTGAAATTTACAAAAAAAGAGGGGTGATTCAGGATTTTGTGTCACACACACACACACACAAACAACATTTTTAGGTTAGAATCTATTCCGAACAAAATGTACCTTCAAACATTCCGGGGTATATCGGATGTATTACGAACAAGTTCGGAACTTAATCTAATGTTGGAATGCTGAGAATATATCTATAAGCTACAGAATCTGTAAGATGAAAACAAATATCAATGCACGTCACCTATAATTTACTACGTCACAAGTAGGCAGTGTTGCCAAACTTTTACAGTTTGACAAAAACAAATTAAAAAGACAAGAACAAATTGAAAATTAGGGGTACCTGTTTTACGTTTCTTAACGGCGGATGTATTCAGAGGCTTACTATAATTAATTATCAAATTCCTTTATCATTCATCATATAAAATATATTAGTGCGAGTAAACAATTTAGTGTACAATTGACCCTTAAAAGAGTACATAGTGAAATTTCTGAGAAAACTTCTGAATCTGAATTATTTAAAGCTCAAAATGTGTAATTTCTAACATGTGGAAAAGATAACTACGCAAAAAATTCTTATTTCTTGATTATTCGGCTAAATAGCCATTCATAGTTGAGACTAGTAAACCAGAAAAAAGAAGAAGCAATTGAAAATTAAAAGTACCGATAGGATGACAACGGCAACTATGTAACTTGACAGTCAGTGCCTACCAACCTACTATAAGAAAATGATAATAATTTTATAAAAAACGTTGAATTTTGAAAATATGTATTTTTTTGAATGATTTAATTCTGCTTTTTAACATTTTCTATCATCCCTTGTTAATATTAAATTAAATTCTGGAGATATTTAAGCTTAATCTATTTTGTGTATTTATTTTCAAAAGTTATTGGACACAACGCTTGGCAAGTATAATGACCGTAATGACGTGCATTGATATTTGTTTTACATCGAATTTTGACAATATATATTTTTTTGAATGATTTAATTCTGCTTTTTAACATCTTCTATCATCTCTTGTAAATATTAAATTACATTCTGCAGGTAATAAGGCTAAATCTATTTTGTGTATTAAAAGTTAGACATAATGCTTGAACAAGTACGAAGACAGTATTGACGTGCATTGATATTTGTTTTGAACCAACTGTAGATTCTGCAACTTTTACAGATTTGTAAAATTTGTTAATCTGGAACCAAATCTGCAAGAGTCAAAGTTACAGATCTTTATCTCTAATACCTTACTGCTTACAGTGACAGATGTCTAGCCTGTAAATATTTACGAATCTGTAAATAACAGACAAGGTTAAAATCGCATTTCCTTTAACTCTTACAGATGTTCTCAGAATTCCAACATAAGTCTTTTACGAACACGGAATTTTTTATCCTTATAATTTTCAATCCGCGAACGCTCAAATTTGAAGTGCGCATGCGCAACCCCTCCGAAAACCGCTAACTTCACAAGCGTTTCCTTAATATTATCAGATTACTTACTCGATGTAGTAGTCGATGGTGAAATGGGTATCAATCTTTGAGGCGCTATATTGACCTGTCTGACAGGCGTACTGGGAGCGCTCAATTTCGGCGCCGGACTGCTACTGATTATCGTGGTCGTCGTCGATGTGGCGACGGGCGTCGCGGCGCTACTGGAATTCACAACTACACAAGTCGACGTTAACGTATGGACGAGCGTCGATGAACTACTAGCAGCCGGAACTTGTTGCTGATGTTGTTGGATGGGCTGTTGCGATGCGGTCGCGTTCGTTACCTTTTTTTTGCAAAAACCAAATTTAAATTAGTTGAATTATACAGGGTGTTAATTAATTGAGTGACGATACATCAGGATGTGGATGTTTGGATGATTTTGAGAAGGAATGTTTATGTCGATATATGTCCTAAACCTCTTAGTTTTCGAGCTAGAGGGTGTTACAATTTTAGAAAAAACAAATAACTTTTCGATTATAATTTTCTTACTCCAGATATTTTTATGAAATTTCGGACGTGGACGTCACTGTAAATAGTGAAAAATTAATTTTTGTCCCAAAGTGTTTCCATGTATGGTGGGTTCCTATCAAATTTCAACAAAATATCAAAAGCAGTCTCAATGAACTTGGGAAAAATTGTTTTGGTTTTTATTTTTTTTACTCGAAAATGGTGCGTCGTACGAAAGTAAATCTTCGGACCGAATTTGCTCCAAAATAAATGAGAATTTTAAAAATAATTTTAGTTTTTAGAAAAAGAAGTGGCGTACTATTTTTTCTTCAAACATATTCAATTGAAACCCGTAAGGACGTCGCTGGTAAAAATTTTAAAAAATCTGTCTCAAAAAGTGTTCCTTTATAATTAAAAAGTGTGTACAAAAGTTCATAAAAATATCTGGATCAATAAGAAAATTATAATAGAAAAGTTATTTTCTTTACTACAATTGCAACACCCTGTAGCTCGAAAATTAAGAGATTAGGACATATAGTAGGCGTTAATTAATGCAATGAACTTATTTTAACGGGTGATTCTTGGGTTAATTTTGAATCGAAAAGTTCATATAAAGATATGTCCTCTGAAGCTCGGTTTTCGATATACAGGGATTCTAAAGTATTGGTTTTATTTAGGTTTTTTTTTATTAATTTGAAAAACCGTTTCTAGGATAACATATTATGGTATAAATACACATTTTTTTAAACAGAAAATATTTTTTAATTTAACCAGTGGCGTAGATATGGGTAGATCTTGGTACAATTTTATCTAAAAAAGTAATACGCCACTGTTATTTAGAAACTTTCTCTAAAAATTATTGATAACCATTTCACTTTAAACAAAAAAAGTTTCTTGCGTTTTTGCTGTAGAACTTATCATTTTAAAGAAAATAATTAAAAACTATAGTTATTACATCTAAAACATCACACCAAAAACTATCTACTTGCCTAAAATCATAATAATAAGACATTTTATGTACATAGGAATTTATACCATAATATGTTAACCTAGAATCCAATAATATAATATCGGAAACGGTTTTTCAAATTTTCATAATAAAAATACAACCCTGTAGGTATATTGAAAACCGAGCTTCGAGACATATATGAACTTTTCGACTAAAAATTAGCTCAAGAATCACCCATTAAAATAAGTACATTGCATTAATTAACACCCCATATATTTACAAAAACATTTCTTCTTAAAATCATCCAAACATTCACATCCTAAGGTATCGACACTCAATTAATTAACATCCTGTATTTGACGATTCGATGTGATCGAAATACAAACCTGCGCCTGTTGACTCGTACCGCTGGGCAATGTCTCGACCAATTTCATACCGATACACGCCTTCGGACCGTAACTTTTACCTTCAACAGTCACTAACGATACCAACGTATCTATAACCCCATGATTAACAATGATAAAATTACAAGATCTCTCGCCGAGTGACGATAACGAATACAAACATTCTAACGTATAAATTAACAACATAACATCGTGTAACGTCAAAAAGGAACACACACTTTTATAAACGTGAGCCTGCAACGATCTCTGCAATATCTCTTCGTTCTGTTCGTTTTGACTCAACTTGTTCAGCACTTCCAACGAAGACAAACACTCCGCCCTGTCTTCGCTTTTCAAACCTCTCGTCACGATTTTGATCAGTTTGTTCGTCAACACGTCGTTTTGTATGTCTTTGATAACGAATTCGGACGCAACGTTACTGAGCATATCCAAGCCGATGTTCTTCAACATGTTCCAACGCGACATGCCGCACAACAACAAAAATCTCACGTACGACGTGTTCTTCGCCAACACCGGCACGTTGTCCTCCACGAAGCTAAGGTTCCGCAAAATCGTCGCGATTTGCAACACCCTCTGGCCGATGTAATCCTGCGTGCCGAGCGATCGTTTAACGTTGAACATTTCGCCGTCGGCCGCGTCGATTTTCAGTTTGAATATATCACATGTATCGTCGATTATCTCGCAGTCCAACGAACTGTCCGCGTTGTCGTTGGGTTCCGAGTCGTTCGGGCCGTCGTTCAATGCCAAAAAGGCCGAAACGTATTCGTCCTCTTTGCCGACGATCAGTGGCGCCGGTTTCTTCGATTCCGATTCGTTCGGGAATTCGGCTTCGTTGGTCAGAACGAGGAAATCCGGCGAGTCGAGCACTTCCTTCCAGAAATTGTGTATAGGCCGTTTACGTATTTTATTGTAAAAGTGCGTAAATAACTGTCGAAGAGAGCCTAAAAACAAAAAAAAAACGAAAACGATATAATAGTCTACATTGATAAAAATGAAACATTTAGATTGGAATAAAAGGTAGAAGCGAAAGGTAAGAGGAAAAGGTTTTGCTCTGGTCCTTATTCATAATCTTCGCCTTTTCATTGCAAGGAAACGATTCGGATATAAATAAAGTAAATGGTACAGACATTAGCGATTTCGTCAAACTAGTCGAAACGAGTCTAAATGGTTCTAAACAGTTCTAAATGATTCTCTGGAGCGTTATAGATTGATCTATCCATTTCTAAATGATTGTTGACAGTTTTAGATGATTCTAAAGCGTTCTAAATGGTTCCAAAATGCTTAAATGTTTCTGGAGCATTCCAAATTGTTTTAGACAGTTGTAAATGATTCTGCATCGTTCTAAATGATTCTAAACCGAAACTAAACTTCTAAACCATTCTAAATGATACTGGAGCTTTCTACATTGATCTAGCCAGTTCTGAATTATTCTGGAGCGTTCTAAATTATTCTAGACAGTTTTAAATGATTCAAGACAGTTCTAGATGACCCTGGAGCATTATAATAGTAGGAGCAGTTCTAAATGATTTTGGAGCGTTCTAAATTATTTTGGACCGATTTAAATGATTCTGGAGCGTTCTAGATTGATCTTGACATTTCTAAATTATTCTAGACAGTTTTAAAAGATTCTGGAACGTTCTAAACCGTTCTAAATGACTCTGGAGCGTTCTAAATTGATTTGACAGTTCTAAATGATTCAAGACAGTTCTAGATAACCCTGGAGCATTCTAATAGTAAGAGCAGTTTTAAATGATTTTGGAGCGTTCTAAATTATTTTGGACCGATTTAAATGATTCTGGAGCATTCTAGATTGATCTGGACATTTCTAAATTATTCTAGACAGTTTTAAAAGATTCTGGAACGTTCTAAACTATTCTAAACAGTTCTAAATGACTCTGGAGCGTTCTAAATTGATTTGGCAGTTCTAAATGATTCAAGACAGTTCTAGATAACCCTGAAGCGTTCTAAATTATTCTGAAACGATTTAAATGATTCTGGAGCATTATAGATTGACCTTGACATTTCTAAATTTTTCTGGACAGTTTTAAATGATTCTGGAACGTTCTAAACGATTCTAAACATTTCTAAATGACTCTGGAGCGTTCTATATTGATGTAGTCAGTTCTAACTGATTCAAGACACTTCTAGATGACCCTGGAGCATTCTAATAGTAAGAGCAGTTTTAAATGATTTTGGAGCGTTCTAAATTATTTTGGACCGATTTAAATGATTCTGGAGCGTTCTAGATTGATCTTGACATTTCTAAATTATTCTAGACAGTTTTAAAAGATTCTGGAACGTTCTAAACGATTCTAAACAGTTCTAAATGACTCTGGAGCGTTCTAAATTGATGTAGTCAGTTCTAAATGATTCAAGACAGTTCTAGGTAACCCTGGAGCGTTCTAAATTATTCTGAAACGATTTAAATGATTCTGGAGCGTTCCAGATTGAACTTGAAATTTCTAAATTATTCTAGACAGTTTTAAATGATTCTGGAAATTTCTAAACGGTTTTAAACAGTTCTAAATGATTCTGAAAGCGTTCTAGATTGATCTAAACTCTAGACAGTTCTAAATTATTGTAGACAGTTCTGAACATTCTAAATAGTTCTAGACGGTTTTAAAGTAAATGCACCTTGTCGGCCATAAACAAAATGGGGAATCGCCGCCAAAATACACAAAAATTTTACGTTACAAGCTGTGTGGCGGCTGAGTAACAACTGAAAAGATTATGAAAAGTTGCTATGAACCTAGACTTACATTATTAAAAGCAAATCCTTTTCTTTTTAAACAAATGCTTCTTTTTATAAATACGGCCTAATAATAATAATAATAGGTTTGTTCCTACAACAGTCAGAAATAGCCGGTGGTCGTCAAGAGTCTGCGCAGTAATAATTTAGGTGTTCCAACAAACTCCACAGACATCTCTGATTCTGACTTTGTTAACAATTTATTGTTCCAAAAGTTCAAGGGACTGGTTTTGCGATAGTCAGAAAAATTTTCTGATAGTACAGAGATTTAGAATCCGGCGCAAGCGCATTTTTAATTCGGGTTTAATTTGTATTTCTGAATATAAGTTAATTATTAGATTATGTTGTTTGTTGTTTTTGTTTGATACTTGATGAATATGTAATAAATGTAAAGACTGTTCCATCAAGAAATCGGAAATTTGATTACACCATTCAATCATAAACCGCGCATGCGAAATAGAAGAGTCAGAAACTTATTGGTAACAATTCAGTGACTTTTTGTAGGAACAAACCTATTAATTCACGCAACCAATTAACTATTATACGTGGTATACTAACTATGGCTGAAAACTCCAGCGTGGGCGAGTAAGTAGTTGACCAATTTCGGTTGCTTTTCGAGTTTCAACGTGTGCTTGCCGTCGTTCGATAGAAGTGTACAGACGTTGATGGCGAAATCTTGTTCGTTGGGCAATGGACACAACAGAGACATAAATAGTCTGTCGTACGTTGATGGTTTGTGCACGTTTGTTGCAAGCTGATGGGCTATTCGTTGGGCTTCTAAAACAGATAGAGAAGATAGAAACAATCGTTATAGAAATTGTTGTGGAAAATGAAAAATTAAATTGCTATTTTTACTTATTTTCAATTTGATATTATACACTGTGGGTACATATTTTTCGAATAGGCTGTAATATAAAGTACCTATGTGATATAAAATTAAATAAAATACCAACATTTCGAAAACAAATTGTAATTTTAGGTCATTTTTATGACGAGTAGTTAATATTAAGTAGTTCTCACAATTGTATTATGTATTAGAGTCTGGAAAATATGCAAAATGCATCTAAAGTGCATATTTCCGCAATATTCAAAACGCATATGCTGAATAAAATTTTTCATTTTTCAATATATTTCGCCCATAAATAATTAAAATAATTAATAACAAATATTAATAAAAAAGTTGAAAATTTTTGCAAATTCGTATAACTACAAGAAACACCCAATGCTCCTCCTAACTCTTAAGTAATAGTGTTCTGAACGGTTCTGGAGCATTCTTAACGGTTATAGACCGTTCCAAATGATTCTGGAGCCTTCTAAATGATTATGGAATGTTTTAAACAGTTCTGAAGCGTTCTAAATGGTTCTAGGCACTTCTAAATGATTATGGAGCTTTCGAGATCGATGTAGACAGTTTAAAAAGATTCTAGACAGTTTTAAATGATTCTGGAGCTTTCTAAATGACTATGGAGCGTTCTAAACGGTTCTAGACACTGCTAAATGATTCTGGAGGAGTGTTCTAAAATGGTTCTAAACAGTTCCAAATGATTTTGGAGTGTTCTAAACAGTCTGATAGTCGGCAGGATAAAATTTTCAAAAAAAAATAATGTCTGGTTTTATTCTGATTCGAAGATAAAACCACCTATGGAGTTTTTCCATCTTCTCGAATGAATAGTAAGGAGTACCCTGACAGGGTGGACCATTTTTAGGCAAAAATAACAATATTTAATGGATTTTTGAGCAAAATAATATCTGCATCAGTTGATCGTGAATTTCAAGCTTAGTATCAGGACCAACAAATTGAGTTATTTGAATTGCCAGATTATTTTCCTGACACAAATTCAATTGAAAATATTAGGGGAATCCTAATCCAAAAAGTTTATGCCGATAACAAATGATACTTGACAATTAGAGAACTAAGAGACGCGTTAGAAGAAGTCTGGGTAATTGTGGATACTGAAATTAAATATAAATTGGAGGAAAGCATGAATTCGTGACTTTTTTAAATTAATTCTTATTTAAGTTTACACTTCCGCGGCGCTATTTTTATGCACATCTTACCATATTACACTAATAGTTATTGTATCGGGGGTGTATTTTATTTAATTTTATTTACTACACTACTTGAAAAACACAAATTTGAAAAAAAAAAAAAAGGTTTCTTAACATTCGAAAGTAAACGTAATGATTTGAAATACTGAAGTACCACAGTGTATTTATTATCCAGTGTATTTTCGCTCATCATTTAAAAAGAAATTCTTACCGCTAATGTTGTGTTGCGCGTAATTGTAGCAACAAGGGATGGAATGCAAAGATCTCGCGGACCAGCGCTTGTGCCTGCTCTCTTCATCGTCATCACTGGCCCTATCTGCATCTTCGTGCAGAAAATGCACCTTCTCCCATCGATCTAAATATCTACGATATAAAAAAAATTAATAAATAGTTTGCTTGTACTATACAATTTGTTAATATGCAACGCGTATACGGGTATGCAAAACTACAGTCGGTACAAAACAAATATCAATGCACGTCACCTATAACTTACTACGTCACAAGTAGGCATTGTTGCCGAACTTTTATAGAGTTTACAAAGTCTAAGACTTTTCTAAAATTGTCAAATGGCAAGCAAAATGACAAGAGCAAATTGAAAATTAGGGCTACCTGTTTCACGTTTTTAAACGACGGACGTATTCAGGGGCTCACTATAATTATTCATAAAATTCCTTTATTATTTGAAATATATTTAACAATGCGAGTAAAAAATTTGTGTGCAATTGACCTTTAAAAGGGTACATAGTGAAATGTCTGAGAAAACTTTTGAATCTGAATTACCTATTTAGAGCTCAAATTGTGTAATTTCTAACATGTGGAAAAGATAACTACGCAAAAAATTCTTATTTCTTGATTATTCGGTTGGATAGCCTTTAGTAGTTGAGGCTAGTAAACCAGAAAAAAGAAGAAGCAATTGAAAATTAAAAGAACCGATCGGATGACAACGGCAACTATGTAACTTGACAGTCAGTGCCTACCAACCTACTATAAGAAAATGATAATAATTCTATAAAAAAACGTTGAATTTTGAAAATATGTATTTTTTTGGATGATTTAATTCTGCTTTTTATCATTTTCTATCATCCCTTGCTAATATTAAATTAAATTCTGGAGGTATTTAAGCTTAATCTATTTTGTGTATTTATTTTCAAAAGTTATTGGACACAACGCTTGGCAAGTATAATGACCGTAATGACGTGCATTGATATTTGTTTTACACCGACTATACGATTGCTTCAATTCATACCGCAATATGGTCGGTTCTATGAGTTGAACAAAGAAAGATTAATAAAATGACAGTTGTCAGAATCAAAACTTGCAATGACACAATATCACTCTTTCTTTTTCCTTTGTAAGTATATCTAATGAAAGTTGTCTTTATCGCACCCATTTCTCAGGAGTTCTGAATAGTATTCGACGAGTTCTACAAGAAACTTTAATGGTATTTTGCGAATTTTTCAATAATTAAAAAGTTATGGCTTGTCCGATAATATATCTAATTGATTAACTATTTATACTTGTTTATTGATGAAATTTATTATTATTATTTTTTTTTAAATTCAGGAACTCTAGAACTCATCAAAATACATCAAATAAACCAATCAGAACTATTCCATTGTAAATTTAGGTTTGAAGTTAGCACCGCATGTTTTATTTAAAAAAATAATGTGTTAAAACACCAGAACTATTATTTTTTGTACAAAAGAACTCCTAAACTATCCAAAAGTAATCCAAAACTCTAATCAGAACTACTGAGAACTAAAGTTGCGGTGCCAACTTCACACACCTCCGTGGTGGAGTCTGTGGAGTAGACGCGACCAAGATGCATTCAGGATCACTATGTACAGATAGGTAGAGAGCATGCACACTTGCACACACACACACACACACAGGCACACACAATCGTCGACACTGACCTAGCCCAAGCCCAAAACGGCTGGCAGTGGCAGAGCCAAAGGCAGAGAGAGAGTGAGTGAGTAACTGCGAGTGCGAGTATCGACTGTTGTTTTGGTGACGACTACGACTACGACGGCGACGACGACGGCGGCGGCAGGAGATTACTAACAAACGAAACACGACGGTGCCCGCGGTGCCTATATAGGAAAACACTCTTGGCCTGTGTCTATTGCGATGCGAGAGAAGCGCGCGAGGCGGTGCGGCGGGCCTCTCTCGCCCGTCCTGACCGTCGTTTGGCGCACCACGTGACCCCAAAAAAAACAAGGATCGCCTCCGGAAAAGAACGCAACGAGCGCGACGAGAGAGAGTGAGAGAGGGGTGCGGGGCGGCCCAAGAGGGAGGCGAGAACCGAACCGACCGTTGCGTTCCGTGTGCGTTTCATTCATGCCGGACGTAAACGTATACACGCGGGACGTCGTAGGTCTACTGGGCGAAATGGTCGATTATTTTATAATACGGCAGGTCGACTGGGCAAAGACTGTTTCCTGTCCCCCTTTTTGGGTAGGGTACAACTGGGCAAAGGGATTACCTACCTTCCTAAGAATACTTATACACCGTTGGAAATTTAATTTCGCATAATAGGGAAATCAATGTTAAATTCTTAGCCTGCTGAAATCCAATCTACCAGTATACATTTCAATAGAACGTCGCGATCAATTCTAATAAATTTAATTGTTCTACTGGACCGCACGCCGCGATTTGTAGAGGTACAAAGTTATTTGTGTTAAGTATGAGGTACAAAATTATTTAGAAACTATTTTTATTTGGTATATTTCAAAAAAATGTGTGTATCGGTAGGTACAGTTTTGAAAGAGCAACAAATCTTGTTGAAATAAGGGAAAAAATAATTCAATTTTCTGCTAGAATTATACCTCAGCTCAGTAATATAAGATGACATCTGTATGACAGGTTTGGCTATTGTTTAGCAGAAAGCGGTGGACTATTTTTTAGAGTTCTTTATTTTCTGTTTTAAAATAATCTTTAAGTTTATTTTTGGAGTTTCCTTTTTATTATTTTCTTAGAATATACCTTCTTTTTCAAGCCATTGTGGCAAAAAGACATATCTACATAATTCTATTTTAATATTAGTGATATTTTTTCAATAAATTATCGTTTAAAAATTCTCAATTCTTTGTAATCGACTCGACGTTCACTCATCCGAACCCGTTTTGATACTGTCGAAGTGTCGAAACCGTCGAAATTATTTGATTTTTAATCTAACCGAACCAAAAAGCGCGGCGTGAAGTCCAGTAGAACAATTAAATTTATTAGAATTGATCGCGACGTTCTATTGAAATGTACACTGGTAGACTGTATTTCAGCCGGCTAAGAATTTAACATTGATTTCCCTATTATGCGCGAATAAATTTCCAACGGTGTATAGGTTAAATAACACTGGTCAACAAACTTTTGTAACAAGATAAGTTCCTACTAAGTTTGATTTATCTACCTAAATTGATTCCAACGCCTTATATATTTTGTTTTGATCGGGTCTAATTTTTGCGTTACAGCTACTACTCAAAAAATTGAAGATAAACCGTTTTAAGATTCATTTCTACATTCAATGTATTTATTACTTGAACAGCGTAGTTGTGTTTTGTGTTTTCCGAGTTAAGTGATTCTAAAACAAAGTCAAGAAATGATCCTAATAAGTTTTGTTACATTTGTGGCAACATCACTTTAAAAACTCAGCCAAGAAATTTGACGCCATTAGTAATTACATTGTATGAACAATATTTGATTTCAAGATTCAATTATTTTCAAGATTCTGAGCTGGTATTTTGTAACAATATTAATGGCGTAATGACTGTTTTGGGTATAGAATACAAAGCAGAAGAGTGGCGTTTATTTATCGATAGTTCCAAAGTAAGTTTAAAGGCTGTTCTTTTACCTATCGACAATGAACTACCCTCCATACCATTAGGTGAGGCTTATAACATGAAAGATCTTATGAAACTATTAAATTTATCTTGGAAAAAATTCATTATAACGAACACAACTGGAAAGTTTGTGGAGATTTCAAGGTTATTGCCCTAATTTTAGGATTACAACTAGAGTATACAAAATACGGTTGTTTTATTTGTGAGTGGGATAGCAGAGACCGAAAAAATCATTATATTAGAAAAGACTGGCCCAAAAGGGAATCTCTTACTCCAGGACAAAAAAATATTGAAAAACCTCCATTAGTGCAGCCTAATAATATATTTTTACCACCTTTACACATAAAACTTGGCCTTATGAAATCTACATTTAAGGTGACATTTAATTTTCTAGGAAATCACCGATCAAGTGACTATAAAAGTATTGTCGCGGAGCTCTTATCAAACTATAAGGCTTTAGGCTGTAATATGTCATTGAAAATACATTTCCTGCATTCGCATTTGGATTTTTTCCCGAAAATTTGGGCGCCGTTAGCGATGAACATGGTGAAAGATTTCATCAAGATATTTCTATTATAGAAAAACGATATAAGGGCAAGTGGAGTCCTCGTATGCTGGCGGATTACTGTTGGACATTAAAAAGAGACGTCCCTGAAGCAAAATATAGGAGAAACCCATAAAATTTTATTATTATTAATATTGAAATACAACGAAATAGCTTTAAATTTTTGATAAAAATTGAAATTTTTCTAAATATATTAAAATCAAATTACAAAAAAACTATTCGTATTAGGAACATTTCAGTTTTGTTTCCATCATCCTTATCCTTGTTTTAAACATAACCAGACAAAAGTTTTCATGTTACATACAAAAAGTGTTTTTTTGTTGACCAGTGTAATCAGAATCATTTTAAACATTTAATTTACCTGCGTTCAAATTTGAATTGAAGTTGAAATTCGAGAAAATTTTGATTCTTTGTGGATATCTTGTACCTACTAAATAATAATCAAATTAATTTTTGTCAACTTGAAAAATGACGTACCTACATACATGTAGGTACTTAGGTACAGATAGATGTATATTTTCAAACATAAAATTCAAGAAATCGAAACTCAAAACAAAATCGATCTACAGAGACAGCATAGTAAACTAGTATGGTCAAAGAACCCTTCCTAATTTTATATTAAAACGCAATTATAATTGGGAAATACCTACGCTCTACTAAGAGTATAGGTATGCAAAAAGTAGATGTACATTAAAGAGATTATCGAATTGTCGAAACTAGAAATGCAATTAAGGAACAGGTAAAAAATATTGGAAATTGCCCAGTTGACCTATCACGAGACAGGTCGATCTCGATAATTATTATAAGCTAATAAAATTTTTGCCCAGTTGACCTACATCCACACGGGGTGGTTGCTACTATACATCGCCCGACGGCGGCGGGCCATATTCGCAATCGCATTCAAAACATCCGAGCACACACACACACACACACACACTCAGCGTGTAGTAGTAGTAGTAGTAGTAGTGGCCTTGTGCCTTGGTCTCTCGCTCGGTGAGCCCAACGCCCAGTTGCATAGAGAGTGCAAGTGGAACATCGCTCTGCTTTGCTCTGTCTACACACACACAAAAATTTTATAAAATCGCCATGCCGCGAGGCGACGTTATATTGTGCCGGTGAGAGAGGATCGCCAGACCGCTCGGAGACGATCCGGGGCTCTCGGATTCGTTGTGTGCGTAGAGCGCGTGCTTACTATTGTGTACTTATTATAACACTCTTATCGGGTTTTTGTTTTTTTGTTTCGTTTGATAAGAGCCATTCATCGAAATGGCGCGTCTGCGATTAACACGCCCGGCCTTCGACTGTAAAATGTGAAAAATTCACCGGTCTATATAAACGGATTTTTATATGCGGGCGACAATGTGTATACGCGTATAACGTTCGATTACCCGACCGGATAAATGAAATTTTATGTTTTTACATCGGGCGAACCTAATTTCGCGTAAATGTTTATTTAATTTACAAGGAAACACATTTTCTCTTCGCTTTATTTCATCAAAATTACGATTATTCGTCGGTTAGTTATTTATTATTAAAATATTTGCCATACCGATAATTCGAGCGTAGAACAATTTCGCATAAAATAGAAAAGTATAGTTAAAAAAATTACCTTAGGTAGATCTGCTTAAGAGCCACATTTCCATTGACGCAGGATTTGGGTATCTTCAACAACGGCAGTATATCGGGCCATGCGTTCTTCGAGTTCGCCTATAAACACAAAAATTTATCAATTTATAATTATAAAAATGAAGCATATACTTTGAAGTAAAAGGTAGAGGCAGAGATAAGAGAAAAAGGTTTTAAAACCATAAAACCTTTTGCTTTAAAGCAACAACAGGGTCCTAGAAGCAAAACCTATATTCCTTCTCTTCTTTTTACGCATATACCTTTGAAGCAATTCCTACATTGTTTGAAGCAAAACGTTGTGCTTCTTTTTATAAATACGGCCAATTGAGTGGCTCAGCACCAAAGTAGCCTAACTGCAAATTGCATTATTTGGTAACAGTCAGGAAAAGAACAGCATATTTTATAAATTTCAAGTTTACATGGGCCCAAATGGCCCAAACAAGCACGCTATATCTATTGGTGAACCAGAAAAGCACATTTGAGCAAATGCAGACTTAAAATTTCGAAAATATATACACTTTTCCTAATTGATACCATCTAATGCAATTTCCCAGTTGGGACACTCTGGTGCTTAGCGACTCAATTAAACTAATCGATAACATATAAAAAGCATTCCAGTATTTATTTATATAATAGAAATGGCGTAATTTCATTTGCGCGCTCCGATTTTCGAAAAAAACTCCCAATCGATTTAATGGAATTATTCGCCGACGTAATGCATTCGATAAGCGTAACCCATGCGCGTTGTAAACGACAAAATACAACACCTCAACGACAACCGAAACGGTACGAGTCAATAAGGGATGTCTGGCAAATGACTGGTTTTGCGAAACACGCAGATGCGCGACAGGTGGCTAGCTAAACGATTACAATAATTTTTCCTAGTGCTAAAATTCTATTTGACATACGATATTATATAAAGAGTAATTTCCCGCGAAAATTGGGTACACATTGGAATTAATAACCTTCAAAGAAGCTACATATAAATAGCGAATTTATTATTTCCAATTCGTTATCTTGGAAGACGCTGAATTTATGGTTTCGTAACGTTAATTTAATTCGCAACGAACATTTTTTTTCCTGTCGTGAGTTGAAATTGATGAAATATAATCCAATGATATAAACCGGCTAGAGCTCTATTGATTTTCAATTAATATTTTATGTGGGTCGTAGATCGGAGTGACGGGCGACTTTTTATTTGTATACGATATTAGAATTAATACGAATTGTTAATGGCGGAAAATGAAAAATCTAAAAATCTCGAGGATTCGAAAATACACGAGCGCATATATTTAAAAACATTTCTGCCGACGCTAATATCAATTACCGTCTAAAAATAGAACGAAAATATGCCAACATGTGGATCGATTCAAAAACGAGGTGTGGCTCACTTCTGCCAGGATTTATCAGTAAACTCAGTGAAATTATTATAAGGTAGATGTCTACAAAATAAATTGCGAGGATTTATGTTACTTAGAACTTAGAACATTTCATATTATTTACACTTTTACATAGGTACGAATACCGGGTCGGTCTAGTACGATGTGGACATAGGAATAACACAAGTGCGAGAAAGATAGTATACTATTATTAGTCTATATATTTATAAAAATGAACCATTCATTTTGAAGTAAAAGGTAAAAGCAGAAAATAAGAGAAAAGGTTGTAAAAATTTAAACAAAGGTTTGACAACCATTAACTTTATAGCAATAGCAGGGTTCTCGAAGCAAAATCTCTCATCCTTCACTTCTTTTTTGAGCAATTACGACCTATGGTATTGTATAGTATCGCTTGATAGAGAGGGATGCGCTATATTATAATTTAACAAGTGTACTTGCAAGTGTTTTCAAATTGGTCAGGACAGTTTTATAATTATTTAGAACTATTTGAGAACTGACTGGAACCATTTGACACAGTTCAGGACAACCTTAGAACCATCTAGAACAGTCCAAAATCATGTAGAACGGATTCAAAGCCCACAATCATTTGGAACACTCTCAGGACTTCAATACTTTTTTTAGAACCTTTAGAAGACTCCTTAGAGTTTTTCTGGTAATTTAGAGGACTAATTTAGTAAAATATTCTGAAAAATCGCCAAATTTATATGTCAAATTTTGTAGTTTCATGCTTCTTAATTTCCTTTATTTGTGAATTGGCATAAAAACTCCCAATATTAACGAACATTTCCATCCGAACGGCATTGGAATGGTGACAAAAAAAAAGCCGAATTTGCAACATGTGCTCGCGAAAAATGGCCGAATTTGGCCAACGCAGCGTTTTTGAACAAAATTATCTCTTGGAATATTTGAAATTATCGTTAAATGAGCTATGTATATAAATAAGCACATATTTCCTGCCGTCAGAACCACACTAGGATAAAGGAGCGATAAAATAAAATAACGTTACAATTATTTAGAAAAAATATTGCATTCATAGGTGAGTTACTAAAAAAATTGTTAACGCAATTCCTGTATAAAAAAAATTCATCTAATTTATTAAAAAAATACAATAAATATGCTACATTGGATTAATATTTCCTAATATATTCTATTTTTACATTAGCAAACTTCCACTGTAAATGCACATTTTTATGCAACCAATTAATTCTATTTTTAATTTACATTACACAATTCAACAATTAAAAATAGATAAGCTGTAAGTACCTAATATATTACATTTCTCATAAATTTCGTATTCTACGCGATACTTTTCGAAAATATCTCAAAACAACACTGACAACTACTGACATCTGCCTATAAGTAACCTACATGATGCGATACGAAAAAGAAAGCAACTTTTGACGAATGAAACTATCGGAATCGAGATTTCTCTCTTCTAGTTCTAGCCGCATTTCTCGATGCCCATTATCTTGTCAGCTCCCGCACGATCTCCGGCCGAAACGCGACCGCGTATCGGACGAGAAATAAAACAAAAAAATAAATAAATAATACACCAAACAAACGCGAGTTTGTATACAAAACGTATACACGCGGTGACGATCAGAACTCGCCGAGTTCGTCAGACCGCGCGAACGCTACCGACCCCGGTCGTCGTCGTTTGCAGCAGGTTCTCTCGGCTCGTTCTTCTCGGCACCGCTTCCAAGTTCACTGACCCAAACGAGAGCTTGGAAACTCGTCCGGCTTTGGCGTCGTTCGCGTTTTCGCGTCGCGCGGAAAGCCGCCCGTTCGTTATACGCGCGCCAAAGGGGCCCGGCGTGCACCGGGACCCGGGTGGGCGGCATCCCCTTCGTGTTTGCCCGACGTTGTTCGATAAAAATTTTAGTTGGGGTCGCTCGATTAGTAGGAAAAAAACGGGTAGGGAATTTAGAGCAGGCTTGGTGAGATCGTCGATTGGAAATTTATGTCCGATTTCACCAAGCAGTTCCTAAAGTTAGGTGATACCTAAATCGGATTTAGGAATTCCTGAGTACAATTTGCGTTTCACCATGCGCTAAGTAATACCTAAAGGTAATAGGAAATGCCTAAAGTTAGGACAACTCACTGGGCTTGCCTAAAACATTTAGGAAATACTTAAACATACTTTTTTATGTGATTTCATGTGACTTTATATTTGACTGTCTTTAGACTCTTTAGAAGAAAATTTTAAATGGGAGGAGAATTTTTAGAAACTGGACGAAACTGATTTTTTTTCGCCTTTTTCGATATATAAAAATACGGCATTACAAATAGAAAGAATTGAAGATTATTTTTAATTTGATACACAGGAAGTTTTTGGATCTATTGACTGTACACATGCATGTAAAGATCCATTGTCCTGGAGGAGAGGATGCAGAAATATTTTACAAATCGGAAAGGTTATTTTTCTATTAATGTACATTCTACATCTTCAGCAGATTTAATAATAACTAACATAGTTTAAAGATGGCCCGGATCATCAAAATCTCTTCTTTTCTCTCAACATATTCAATTTCGATCCCCGCTTATTCGGTTTACACGTCAAAATTAGGCAATGCTACCAACAAAATTCAAAAAATTGTCGAAATCAAATTTTTACCTACGTATTTCTTAGTAAGGGATTTCTAATGTTGGTGAAATTCGATTTAGGTAAGTATTCGATTTAAGTAATTCCTACCTTAGGAATTACTTAGTTAGGAAATGCCTAAGAACAGGTTGGTGAAATCGGGCATTAGAAACGTACTCTAGAATGTGGAAATTTGGATGGTCTAGTTTGGATGGTCTAGATTAGAATCTGTTTTAGAAATGCTCGGGTCAGGGTAGAAAAGGCTTATAAGGGGTGTCTCAAAAATTACTGAACGTTTAATTTAACGGTCACGTTACCTGCCAGGGAGAGGTAATGTGAACTGGCCACCAAGATCATCTGATTTGATACCTTTAGACTTCTTTCAAGGAGTTTATCTTATGGATAGTATGGTAAATCAAAAATCTAAAACAGTCGAGGATGTTGAAGATTGAATTCGCCACAACATTGCGAATATTTTATCGCACATAACACGCTATTAGTTAAGGGTGATAATTTTTAAGCGTCTGACTTCCAAACCAATTTGTTATTACAAGTTATGAAACAAACAATTGGCCGTATTCAGCGCCTCTGTTTAACTTTAGAGCGACTCTAAAGTCGCGTCTTTAACTTGACAGATTTACATTGTTGTTATGGAGTAACTAGGGACTCGAGACGCGACTTTTGAGTCACTCTAAAGTTAAACAGAGGCGCTGAATACAGACCAACGTGTTTTATTTAAAGTTAAAAATTTCAGTTACTCTTGAGAATGGAGAGTACACTATGGCAGAAAACCGCTTCATTCCACCACATCAATTTAACCGCCTTTCCTCGACCGTTCAAAAAACTCCACCTTCGACGCTTCGACTGCATAATAATCGATCTAAAAACCTCCTCTAATCGCCCCGTTCAACCGCAACCGGAGCGTGCAGCGAGCGAAAGTGATAGGCCCTCGACAAATTCTCGCATCTGGCCGGTGCGCGATTTAAAAAACCTCCCAAAACACCTATATCGCGTCTGCCGCTCGTCTCCGCTCTTCTCCCCCTTTCTCGCAGAGTTTCCGGGTTTTCCCCGTCGTCGTCGTCGCCCTTTCGCGTTTCGCGCCCGAACCGGCGGAGGAGAGAAGAGGTCCGAGAGGCCGGCGAGAGAACGGAGAACCGAGTTCACTTTTGCGTCCGCGAAAAACGCGAGAAACGGGAGAGGATAACGCACGACCCGACGACGGAACGGTCCCTGACCCACTCCAACTTTCGAGGGCGAGAGCGGATGGCACGGCATGTGGGCTGAGCTGAGACTCGAGAGAGGCTACCACACGGTTTGGACTTGGACTCGGCGGTGGGGCGATTGGGTTTTGGTCGTGTGCTGCACGTTCGTTTTTCGGGTATTTACCGGCGTTCGAGTTTGATGGGTTAATCGACACCTCATTCGGGTGTTGATCCTATAGCGATTCGTGCGCGATTTTCCCGCGGCGATTTTTCAGACCGATCGAGCGATTGAAAACGGAAGATTTCCTTCGGAAAAATGCGTTTTTTTTGAATGCATCTTTTTAAGGCGACGAATTTGCATTAGGCAACGTTGGTACATATAGTATGATTACATTGCGTTGGGCAACTTGTAGTATTTAAAACGTTTCTCAAGAATATTTTACCTACTTTTTTTTTAATTTATATGCAATAAAATACGTGCGCATTAATTGGTGGGAGGAGGTCAAATTTCAAATTGTGCTTCATACAGCATTAGTAGTTTTTAAAAAATCGCAAATTTACACACTACTAAGCCTAAAGCGATATGTCATATAAAATATTTATCACATCAATTCTACCTTTACATAATCTAATATTTTTCTACATTAAGTACTTAGATTATTCCAAACAACTTTTTGAAATTTTCCACTCATTTTCAAAAATTTTTTTCCATTACGAACCTACAAACGTGGCAAGTAATATGAGCCTTTAAAAGCATATTTTTTTTTACTTAATTCGTATCATACGATACAAACACAGCACAGAAATTGCATTTAATTATGAACAAAAAGCTACTATAAGTACTACCTAAATGACCTCGATTTCTTCGTGACGTATTTTATGATTCAATTTATTTACAACAAAACATATTCGTTGTACTCGTATATTTATGTTGCATAAGTACCCATACAAAAAAATATATTATCTAAAAAAAACATTTTTGTCCATCAAAAAAATTCATATCATACGATCTCTACATGTAGATTCGACAATATTCAAGAATATTTTTTCTACTTTTGTCGACTTTACAGTTGAAAAAATTTGAATAATGTTCTCCAAGTTCAAAAGTTCTAAATGTGAAAGCATTCTAAATGGTTCTGGGATTTTATAGTTTATTTTTTGTTCTAGATAATCAAGTCTGTTCTAAATGATATTGATGAACAGTTCTAAATGGTCCCAAGATCGTTTTGAACTCTTTCAAATGATCCTACTCAGTTCTACAATGGTTCTAAACGATTCTGAAGGTTTCTAAAATATTTTACTACTTTTGTCGACTTCAGTTGAAAAAAAAATTAATAAACTGGTCCAAGTTCAAGTTTTAAATATCAAAGCATTCTAAATGGTTCTAAATTTTTATAGTTTATGCTTTGTTCCAGATAATCCAGAGTATGTTCTAAATAATTTTAGACAATTCTAAATAATTCCAAGATCGTTCTGAACTCTTTCAAATGATCCTAGTCAGTTCTAAAACGGTTAACAATTCTGAAGATTTCTCAACGGTTTTAAACAATTCTAAATAAATCTAAAACAATTTGAAAACACTCGCAAATGCACTAGTACCGTTATAACATCTCTCTCAGTCTCGAGGGATATTACAATGATCAGAAACTCTCTCTCGCTCTTGTCTAATCCACAATATCCACATCCCAACGAACCGACCCGGTATAATTACATTAATATCGAAGTCAAATCGGTACTTTTTCCACCAACGGTTACGATTCTTTTTTATAAAACACACACGGATCCGTTGTTAACGTTTTTATATTACCTTATACCTAAACGTGCTAGAGATAGAAAGTTCCCGATGTTCAGGTGAGAGTTCTCGGCGGTATAAAAGCGCTTTTTATTTACCAAAATCACTATGAATGCAACGGCGCACGTGAGAGCAAGAGCACTCGACACGTTTGGACGAAAATATAGTATTGAAATTTTCGCGCTTAGATATATTAGATAATTAAGATAAATAAAAAATAAAATAAAAAAAAATTTACCTGTTTTATTAATGCGAGATTATGTACTTTGCTAGTTAAATATTATCAAGGCCATTTAGTTACTATGTATTATTATGTGTATAATTGGTAGTGGAGAAATGTTATATGAACGAAATTGGTTTGGTATTTGTTAATTATATTTAATTAAAGAGAGATATAAATAAATAAAATGTTTACATACCCTCAACCATCCGCCTTGCGATGTAACTAGATTATAAAGTAGGTATAAGTCGACTGTTGTGCCTCCTATAATAGGGGTTAGCTTGATAGGCGTCCTAAAAAAAAAAAAAAATTAGGTACAACCAGTTTAACGACGAAATTTGGTATCTAAACAATAAACTCACCCTCGAATTTCGTGGAAATGTTGCAAATCTCGAAGGAAGACATCGCGTTCCTTCGCGTACGTGGCCTGATCTTTGCCTAGAATTTTGGCCATAGTCGTCCTATGATAAAAATCCTTGTTTACCGCACAGCACGTGTCATTATCGTCGATAACCGGCACCGGACGCGACCCCAAGACGCCAGAAACAACGGTCCCGACGTCCGTTTGCACTCACCTCCCGCAATTGGGGATGCTGGAAGCTCGCAATCGTCGGCCAGGCAGCAGACGACTCCCTGCGCTAGCTAGTACGACATTGCACTCTGACCGTAAAAATGCGCAGAAACATCGGTTTCGCGACCACCGGGCGATCCGCTGTGGCTACCGTTCGAAAGAAATACACTTTATTGATAAAATGCACCGTTCGGCTTGTATACAAAACGATTTTTTCGAGCGTTTTACAGCTTGCATATTCCGCACTCTTAACCCATGATGCTTGACAAGACTTACAACATGGCCGCCGGTTCTCGGGTTATTTGTCGAGGCGCGAACTGGATTCACTAATTCACTTTGTTTTGCCGGCGAACGCCGCTTTCTTCGATTCCGTTCCCTTCGGTTCCTTTCCCATTGTTTTATTCGCTCTGTACGATAATTTTTAATTATCGCTCGATTTTTATTAAACACTACAAAAACCGTATGAATTATTTTTTGACAACACAAAATATCAGTTCAAATGACTAGTTCGTCGACGGTGGAGACATCTGTCATAACATTTCACAAACTCTGTCGAGTCGCTGTTGTATGCGGCAAAAGTAGGAAGCTTTATTTATCGATTACGCTTCTTGCGGATGCACCTTAAAAACCTTCTAGATTCCCTACGGTTGTTGTATTTTTAGTTACGTTTTATCTACAAGATGGCGCTGGTGTATTAACTGCATTTTTTTTGTATTCATGTTATGAATTTGAGAAATTTTCGCGAATTTTTGTTTATTATCTTTTAATTTGTGCAGATGCGCGGGATTCCTGAACATTTTTGCGTTTTTTTAATCGTTTTAGCAATGTTTTATTTCATTTTATTTGACTGTTTTGTCTTTCTTTCTGGGGATCCTTTATTATAATAAAGTACAAGTAACTTTTACTCATTGAATTGCGTATTAATAATGAAATTATGAATCCCAATTTCACAATTATTATATCAAAATATACCAGTGTAGAGTCGCTTATCGCTCGAAATATGATTTCCCCAGTGATTAAACACATAATTACTGCATAGCAAGAGGCCACAGTTTGTCTCATCTGATTGTGAATGGTAAGAGAAATATCTTTATAAATTAATAAACAATTCCGTTAAAATATTATAATAAGCTTTGTTATCTAAAGAAAGCTGTACTCTACAAATGTTGACTTACAAAATTTCCAAAAGCCGGTAATTTTTGTTATGTCCAGTTCCAAATGACTCTAAAGGGTTCTAAATGGTTTTTATAGATAATTTTAAATGATTCTGGAGCGTTCTATATGGTTCTATATGGTTCTAGACAGTTTTAAATTATTCTGGAGCGTTCCACATCATTCTGGAGTGTTATGAAAAGTTCTAGGCGTTCTAAATGGTTCTAGATATCTCTAAATGATTGTAGAGATCATTTTAAATAGTTCTAGATAATTCTAGATAAACCATTCTAAATGGTTTTAGATAATTTTAAATGATTCAGGAGCGTTCTACATCTTTCAGGAGTGTTGTGAACGTTCTTAAAGGGTTCTATTAGAAATAATTCTAAATAATTCTTGAGCGTTTTAAATGATTTTAAACCATTCTAAATGGTTCTAGATAACTATTCTAAATAATGATTCTGGAGCGTTCTAATAATTTTAGACCAGTTTTAAATGTTTCTATCCCATGCTTCTTATGTTCTAATAAGTAATATAGTCTGATAGTACCTACGTGTGTATACAGTGCATTTCTTCAATGTCCCCCCCTTTTATTTTTTGAACGGATCAACTAAGAAAATTGAAACTTGTGATAATGAAACTAATGCATGATTAATATATTTTGGAGTAAAATTGACTGATGAAAATTTCAAGATGGCGACTGGGCGCCATCTTGAGAAATAACTGAACTGAGAAATAATTCTGAACTGAACGCAGCTTATTTCCTCAAATTATGATGTTAAACGTCGATGTATTCAGGTAATTATTAAATGTCCGCCATTTTGTAATGGGTGCAGATAATGGTCCGTATTCAGCGCCTCACTTTAACTTTAGAGTGACTCTAAAGTCGCGTCGTTAACTTGACAGTTTTACATTGTTGTTATGGAGTAACTAGGGACTCGAGACGCGACTTTAGAGTCACACTAAAGTTAAAGTGAGGCGCTGAATACGGGCCATTCACTTTAAATTCCAGGGTTGTACAGTATTTGACAGGAGCTTCAAAATGATGTGTCACAAGACCCTCCTTTCCATTTAAATTTATTTCTCAAGATGGCGCCCAGTCATCAAGGCCCAGGCAATTTTCATCTGTCAATTTTACTCCAAAATATAGTAATCATGCATTAGTTTCAATTTTCTTAGTTGATCCGTTCAAAATATAAAAGAGGGGGATATTAAAGAATAGCACTGTATACCTTATCTTTTTCTTTTAATCAAATTTTCAAATAAATAATTTTCTAAATGGTTGTTTCTGATTTTTTTCATCGAGCATAAATGCTTATAATAAGTGCATATTTCGAAGGTTTTTAGTACATACATTTTTGCAAGCTCCACTCAGGACCAAAACTCTCAAAAAAAATCGGTAAAATAAAACCAAAACCAGTGTACGTTTCAAAAAAACAATTATATACTTAATACTATTTACAAATCGTAAAATGGTAAATGATGCACATACGTATACATAACATAATACATACACATTAAATATATTCAGAAATAAAAACTTTCTTCAAATCCGGTATGCTGTGTACGCACTTCACGCCGCATTCATCCGTGCAATTCCCGCCGAAACAACTTAATCCCGCGTCTTCAATGTAGACGGTGGTCGTATTGGGCAGGTACTCTTCGGACTTGACTCGTTGCCTGTACACGTGGATCTGCGGAGATGCCGTCGTCTCCTTGCAACTGCTCCTGAAGTACTTGTCGTTGAACGCTTTAGCACGTTTGTCTTCGAGGGTCACGTACGAATTCGATCTTTGCAAGCCGAACTTGCCGTTCGATTTGTTCTTCATGTTCTCCTCCTCTTCTACGAACGCTTGGAAGTTCTCTAACGATCTAAATGTACAGAAGATATTGTTTAAATTAGTTACTATAGCGAGGTACTTGTACCATGTAGACATGGGAATAACATAAAGTGTGAGAAAGAGTGTATGAAGCAGAATGTGTACTTGCAAGTGTTTTCAAACAGTTCGGGACAAGTTTAGAATCGTTTAGTCCAGTTGAAAACCGTCCAGAAACAACTAGAACTATTTCAGAACTGACTAGGATCATATGAAATAGTTCAAGACGATCTTATTGAATCAATTATAACTATCTAACGTCATTTAGAACAGGGGCCTGTTTCGTATAACTGACAAGTTGACAAGTGACAAGTCAACAAGTTACAAGTGTTGGTTAACAAGTTTTTAACCAAATAAATTTAAAATAAAATGTAAATTTTTAAAATAAATTTCGACACTTGTCGAATTAAAAAGAAAAAAATAGTACTTACTATACTGGGGAGCATAAGTATCACCACCTTCCTTTTTTGATATTGGGAAATTTTTACTTTGAAATTGTTTTTTTTTCTGGTTGGAGCTATTTTTAGATGTGAACCACGACAATTTCGTTTATTGACAAGAAACTTATTTTTTAAATGCAGCAACATTTTTTTAATATTCAATTATTTTAATAAAGAAAGGGCATTCTATTTGGAAAATTTAGTCCCACTTCTACAAAAGCTATAAAATGAGCATTGATACGAACCAAGACAATGCATAATTTCTATACGTTGGTTCTTATACATTAGGCGGGAACCAATAGATTTTATTATTTCCTCAATATTTATCGAATTCATTCGAAATCTTTTATTAAACTCCCATTAAGCTTCCTCCTCACTGTCGCTTGACCACATTTTCTTTTAAATTTACAAGAAAATCGGATGGTGACAGGAAATCAAATCCCTGTCTTTACATTAATATATGATAGGAATAAATGACAAGTGTTGTTTAATTTATTTTCTATGAAACGCAAACCTATCGACAATTGTAAAAGAGACTTGTAATATTAGGTTAGTCACTTGTCACTAATAATCTACTCGTGTAATTTTATGAAACACAAACTTGTCAAATACTCCAGTCAAATTTAGACTACACTTGTTCGACAGGACTTGTCAGTTATATGAAACAGGCCCCTGGACCATTCGGAACGGTCCAAACGATTCAAAACAACACCCAGCAACACGAACCTCTTCGAATTCGATCTCCTTATCCTAAAATTCCTCAGCTCCTCCTTGACGTTGTCCTTCTCCAGCACCGGCTTCACCGACGTTATCACCGGCTTGTTGTTCACGTTGTTGATGATGTAGTATCCCTGATCGTCGACGATGTCGCGCCGATTGGAGTCCGATTGGAAGAAATCGAAGTCGCAATTCGCCTCCGTGGTGATGCTGTAGCAACTCTTCGAGCTCATCGAGTCGAAATGTTCGTTGTTCAGGTCCGTGTTGTACTCGTCGTCGGAGCTGTACTGGTCGTTGGACATCGTCTCCTGGACTTTAACGCGAGGAACGATCGGTTTGCATCGTGGGGAATACTTGGCGTTGTCGACTGAAATGCGATTTATAAATCCTCCGATAGAAGTTTCGTAGTGATTCCGGTAACCTTTTTCCTTTGCATGTAGCTCGTTGAGGCTGTCCTCGCTTCTGCTCAGCCTCATCTGATTCATCCTCATGATGTTCCGGGAATTCTTCACGGCTTGGCTGTTTAGTTTGAAATCGAAGTTCCTCTGGAACACGCGGTCTTGTTCGACGTTGGGAGCCGCGTGCAGGGATTCCTGGCTGTGGACAATCCGATCGACCATGGATTTTTGGTTCAACAGGTTGAAGTGCAGCGCGGGCGAGTTGAGGGCGGCGTCGGACTTGAGCTGGCAATTGAATTGGTTGAGTTGGTTGAGTTGTTGGTTGAGCTGTTTGTTGATGTAGCTGGTGCTGAGGTGGTGTAAATTGGAGTGGCTGGGGCACAGGTCGGTCTTGCAGGTGGAGCAGGAAGGGAACTTCGTCGGAACGTCGAAGTGATCGTGTCGGTGATGCGACAACGCGCCGTGGAAGGATTGATTTTTGTCTGGTTTCGAACCTGAAATTCGTACGGTATTTATATGGAATTTCTTTGAATTGTTGTGGAAATTTAGTTACATTTTCTGTTGTCCTTATTGTTGCGCCTGTAATTATGGATGACCGGTAATCTACCGTCGATGCTGGTGTATAAAGAACCGTTGGTGATTGGAAATCTGTGCTCGACCGATTGGAAAATTGGGTGGTTTCCTTCGGTATTCTGGATTTCCAGACTTTGCGGCTGGCTTCCGAGGCTGAAGGGACGGAACTTTCCTGCTAAACCCGCTGGAAAGTAAATTTACACTAGTAAATAAACAGCATTAGAGAATCTACATCTTCTAGAATCTAGGGAATCTACACCTTGTAAAATCTAGGGAATCTATATCTTCTTGAATCTAGAGAATCTTCATGTTTTCGCTTACCATGAGGTAGTTTATCTTCTACGGCGGAGTTACATCTGTATACGCTCGACACCCATTTACAGAATCTGGAATCTACGATGCCCAATCCGACTGGCATAAGAATGTCCTGGACAATACCCAACCATAAGGCGATATCCGTTATTCTCCAGGGGAATATCAAATCCGGATAAATGCATAGAACCTGAAAAATTAACGTTACATTATTTTACACGTAGAATATTAATTGTAGTACAACTGATAATTTAACACAACAAATTTTTAATCGAACATAAATATTTATCTTCAATGTCATATCAATATCAATATCGCATTTTCCTGTATTTTTTTCTAATTTTTTTACAAATTCGAAATTGTATATTCTTTATTAGAAATTGTTAATTTTCAATTTGAAATCTTTTAGTCTTAATTTAATATTGCATAATCTGAATGTCAATTTAATAATATTGTTTATTCTCAATTTTTAATATTATTTATTTTTAATTTGAAATTATATATTCTCAATTTGATTTAGTAATATATTCTCACTTTGAAATTGTTTAGTCTCAATTTAATATTACATAATCTCAATATCAATTTAATATTGTTTAATTTCAATTTAAACTTAAAAAATACTTTAAATCAACCAAAAATATCTTAATACATTCAAAATGGTAATTTTGAGAGAACATATAACAGCCTCTTTAGCTCAGTGGCAGAGCACTGGTCTTGTAAACCAGGGGTCGTGAGTTCAATCCTCACAGGAGGCAAAACGAGTGCGAATATTTTTTTTTCATTTTTTTTTGCAACTTTATAATATAGCCAGTTATTTTGCACAACGCTAGTTAAACGGCAATTTCCTTTTAACATTTGCGTAATTATAAAGGTCATAAATATAAACGTGAAATACCAACGTTCTGACTGAATTTATTCCCACAATGAGCGGTACAGTACCGTAAACCTTTTAGAGAATGTGATTGATTTCCAATTTTACACATAAAACTCTGCTTGCAATTGACATTAATTGCGAACTGTAAATACACAATTTATTGAACGGGCAATCTAACCGGCATTATCCTTTTACAGAGAATTTTACTGCAAATACAAATATTTTATTTCAGATAACAATAACGACCAGATATATCTACCTACGCTGATTATTTATTAGGTAAGTAATTCCTATTTACTTAGCATTTTTTCATTTTTTAATCTTATTAAATATACAAATCTTTCTTAATAACAACATATTGCGTGTAATAATTAATAAATGAAACTCTTACATTCATACATAAAATTCATACTTTACATCCTAATAAATATCATTAACCTAAGGATATTACGCAAGGCAAAATGCAAGTTTAGATTTCAACACTATTACAATCGGCCATCGACTGTTTTATTATTTACAAGATAATCTTTAATATTCTTACTTTCTACTCTTTTATTAATTAGAGTACAGACCGATGGAAATAGCAACAACTGTGACAAGCGCGAACGTACAAAAGTAATATGACAATGACGTCATTTTTAATAATTTCCATGCAGTTCAAAATTCCCCTAGTGCCAATGCTAATTCTGCCATTTAACTATAATAGGGGAATTTTATCAAGAGCGGTTGAATTGCTCATGCGCTGTTGCCATATCGCTAGTCTCAAAATTCCGCTATTTTGTAGTTGACACGTTTTGACTACAATTTGCGTTGTAAATGATTCTAGACAGTTCTAAATGATTATCTGGAGCGTTCTAAATGATTCTAGACAGTTCTAAATGATTCTACATAGTTCTAAATGATTCTGTAGCGTTTTAAATATTTCTAGACAGTTCTGAATGATTTAGGACAGTTCTAGATGACTCTGGACTGTTCTAGATTGATCTAGAGAGTTCTAAAAGATTCTAGATAGTTCTAAATCATTTAGTTGCACAGTTTGGACAGTTGTAAGTGATTGTGGGTCATTCTAAATGGTTATAGAGAGTTCTAAATGATCCTGATGAATTTATTCTGTTTTTTTTCGAAGATTAGCAGGAATTTTTCGTCCGTAGATAGTTTTTCGTGCAGTCTCTGTACTGTGTTTACCAGTTTCTCCCGCGTTTTTCTATGTGTTTTCGTGAGTTTTTGGTGTAATTTTCGTGCTTGTGTATTATAATATTCAGTTAAATAAATATTCGCGAATTTGTATCTCCTCCCTATGTTTTTTTGTATGTTTAAATTCTACTATTTGTGACTTTTTTAATCTGTAAACATTGAAAGAAGATATAACCTTAAATTAATTGTAACTGTCATATCCTTTAGGATTTCAGTTACAACCTGGCAACGTTGCAACAGGCTGGCTGGTGACGTCATTGTCATTGTTAAACGTACGAACTTTAGCTATTCCTGTCGATCTGTAAGTAAAGGCACTAAAATGAAGTAGGGCAATGAAAAATGGCGGAGTAACTGAATTAGCTAATTAACCGAATGACCTCATCCACGCCGATCGCTCGTTTTGTCCAATAAAAAAATTTAAATATAGCATTTCTAAAAAAAAACCTGCCTATACCATTTAGCCGTTTAATTTGATTGAATTATTGTCACTCTTACGAGCAATGATAGCATACTTCGTTACGTATCAAACGGATGCGCCGGTTTTCTCTTTATTTCCTCTCTCGCCCGTTTACTGATCGTACAGCTGATCATAATTACGGACACATATTCTATTACGAATTTTCAATCTCGATCTACCTTTACCTGACCCACTTTTATCCGGCACAGATTAACTCACCAAAGGCGTACCGGCAATGACCTGTTGAACTCGGTTTTTTAACCAAAATCTTCATATTTTTTCCATTTTTTTCCATTTTTTTTTCAAAAACCATTTTTTTAATCAATTTCACGGATAATTTTGACAGTTAGTGAAGAAATTTTCGTAAAAAATATTATGTAATGTGGGTGGGTACTAGGTTTGATAACCTCAGTAAAGTTCGTACGTTTTAAAATGACAATGACGTCACGAGCCAATCTGTTGCAACGTTGCCGGGTTGTAATTAAAATCCTTTATATGACACATACATTGGCCCGTATTCAGCGCCTCTGTTTAACTTTAGAGTGACTCTAAAGTCACGTTTTTAACTTGAAAGATTACAAAAAAAAAACAAAATTATTACAAAAAATTACAAAAAAAACTCGCAAAAAAACACATAGAAAAATACGAGAGAAACTGATAAACTTACAGAAACCGCAAGAAAAGCTATCTAAAACGTAGAAAATATACAAAAACTACTCCTAAACTAAGAATCATTTAGAACTGTCTATAATAACAACTTAGAACAAATTATTTATACCGCTCCAGAATCATTTAGAACTGTCTGGAATCATTTAGAATGCTTCAGAATCATAAAGAACAAATAGCTAGAATGATTTAGAACGCTCCAAAACCATTTAGAACAGTCTAGAATCATTTAGAATGCTGAAGTATCTTTAGAACTGTCTGAAATCATTTAGACCTCTTCAGAATCATTTAGAACTGTCTGAAATCATTTATAACGCTTTAGAATCATTTAGAACAACTAGCTGGAATGATTTAGAACGCTTTAAAACCATTTAGAACTATCTGAAATCATTCAGAACGCTTCAGAATCATTTACAACAACTGACTAGAATCATTTAAATGCTCCAGAGCCATTTAGAACGCTCCAGAACCATTTAGAACTGTCTAGAATCATTTAGAACTGTCTAGAATCATTTAGAATGCTGAAGTATCATTTAGAACTATCTAGAATCATTTAGACCTCTTCAGAATCATTTAGAACTGTCTGAAATCATTTATAACGCTTTAGAATCATTTAGAACAACTGGCTGGAATGATTTAGAACGCTTTAAAACCATTTAGAACTATCTGAAATCATTCAGAACGCTTCAGAATCATTTAGAACAACTGACTAGAATCATTTAAACGCTCCAGAATCATTTAGAACTGTCTAGAATCATTTAGAATGCTCAAGTATCATTTAGAAGTGTCTAGAACCATTTAGAACGGCCCCGAAACATTAAGAGCTGTCTAGAATCATTTAGAACGCTCTAAAAAGATTTAGAACTGTCTAGAATCATTTAGCCTTCTTCAGAATCATTTATAACTGTCTAGAATCATTTAGAACGATCCAGAAAAAGACAAAAATCGCTGGGAAAGTCATAAAAACAACAAATTGTAGTCAAAACGTGTCAACTACAAAGAGCGGAATTTTGACAATAACAATATGGCAACAACGCATTCCCCTAGTCAAATGGGAGAATTAACATTGACACTAGGGAAATTTTGAACTGCGTGTAAATTACCAAAAATGACGTAATTGTCATTTAAAAACGTACGAACTTTACCAGGAGATATTCTTAAGTACGCCTCTGATTTTAGGTACGCTGCATACGCGCGGTTTTGCCGTTCAACTTTCATCTTTGTTCGCGTATTTGTTATTAATAATAATCCCACAACAAGAAATTGGGCTTCAATCTCTATTGATTGACCAAGATTCGTTCGGTCGTGTGGGACTTGGAACGATTTTTTTTTTTTTTGGTTTCGTGAAATAAAGGCGCGACCGATCCTCGAATCGTGAGCGAATTTGAATTTAAGCAGATATTCGCGGAATAAATTGATGCACAATTCTCATATAGAGATTTTCAAATGATAAATAAAAGGTATAGTATAGTCACAATCCATTCGCTGACCTTACGCGGGTTTCGGATTCGGATTAAGAATTTAATTGCAGTGAATTGCAATAATTTAATCGCAAAGCCGATTATATCTCCAAATGTTACCTGTTTCTTGCGGGTAAATATGAACTGGTCAAATTACATGCGAATAAAATCCAAAATAATTCGCCTGCATTTGAATTGTATACAAATCATTGTTAAAGCTACAAAACCATAAATTACTGAATTATACAGGATGTTAAATAATTGAATGCCGATACTTCAGGATGTGAATATTTAGATGATTTTAAGAAAAAAAAATATTTTAATGTATGTCTTAAATCCCTTAGTTTTCGAGCTACAAGGTTTTAAAAATTTTAGAAAAAATTACTTTTCTATCATAATTTTTTTATTACTCCAGATATTTTTATGATATTTCGTGCACATTTTTTAATTATTAAGGAGCATTTTTTGAGGCATAAGATTTTTTAAAATTTTCACCAATGACGTCCGTGCGGGGTTTAAACTGAATATGTCCGAAGAAA